TCATGGTTTGTTGTTGTTGAATTTATTTATTTATTTGAACATCAGAGTTACAGAGAGAGATCTTCTATCTGTTGGTTCACTCTCCAGATGGCTACAAAAGCCAGGGCTAGGCCAAGTTGAAGCCACAGGCTTCTTTCACACCTCCCACACACACAGCAGGGGCCCACGTACTCAGGCCATTAGCAGGGAGCTGGATCAGAAGTGGAGTAGCCAGGACTCGAACTGGCACAGATGCCGACATCGCAGGCAGTGGCTGTACCCACTACGCCACAACTCTGGGCTGAGGCACATAGCTTTGTCTATTCAGTAGTCACATCAAGTTGCTGAGTCTTCAGTGAAAGGCATGGCAGTTTGTCTTTTCTTTGTTCTTTAAAGATTTATTCGTTTGAGAGAGAGACCAATCTTCCATCTGCTGGTTTACTCCTCAGCTAGCTGCACCATCCAGCGTTAGGCCAGGCAGAAGCCAGATTCTTCTTCCCAGTTTCCTACAGACGTGACAGGGCCCAGGTGCTCAGGCTCTCTTCTGCTTTTCCCAGGCCATTTGTAGAGAACTAGGGCAGCTGGGACTTGAACCAGCGCCCATATGGCATTGCAGGCTTTACTCGCTAGGTCACAGTGCCAGCCCAGTTTCTGCTCTTTGGAGCCAGCACTGGGGAAACCCGGCTAATGAAGCACAAGCAGGGGCTTCTCTGTGCGCAGACCCTCCAGGTCTCCCCGAGTGTTAGGAAATATTCCCAACCTCCAAAACCAGGCGCAGGTCTGCTGCAGCATCCAGCTCCCAGGCGGTCCTCCAGGATGCCAGCGTGTGCAGTCCATCTTCCCCAGGGTCTGCACTTGGATTCTGGCTGAGCCCTCACCTAGACTTCCCACACAGACTAAGCCTCTCCGCCTCCATCCACAGGCACCAGAGATCAGGATTCCACAGAGCCGGGGCAGCCCATTTTCCCCAGTGCCCTTCCAGGAGCCGCCAGCTCCCCTCCCCTCTGTTAGGAGCAGGGCGAGCTTCCATACTCTGCGTGCTCCCTTCTGTCTGAATCGCAGGGTTTGGATCATCTCAGTGAAGGACCCTTCCAATTAATGGCAAGATTAAATACAGTACAACTTAGACGAATCTGTTTAGGTTTAGGGAAGAAGTCAACCTGTATCAAACTGGCCTGTTTTTCCTTTGATCTATACTGTTACTAAATACCTAGTCTTTGGGAGACAACCTAGCACTAACAACAGTTAGTGAAGACTTTTATTATTTAGAATGTACTCATCCGTGGAGAAGGGCCTTGTCCTTGATCCAGCAGGTAGCAGTGGCTTTGAAAATCATGTAGCAGGAGGCAGCACTGTGGCGTAGTAGGCTGAGCCTCTGCCTGCAGCGCCAGTTCCGATCCCGTCCAGCTCTCTGCTCGTGTCCACACGTGGGACACCCAGGAGAAGCCCCTGGCTTCCGATTGGCCAAGCTCCAGCCATGGCAGGCATTTGGAGGAGTAAACCAGCAGATGGAAGACTTTTCTGTCTGCCTCTCCAATAAAGAAATAAAATCATCTGTGATGTAGAAAAAAGACACAGGATGAAGCCCACTATGGAAATACCATACGCACAAACCTTAGAAAGCAGAGGAAATTCAGGAAGATGCTACGTGGTTATAAAGAGGGTGTTGATGGAGACTTTTTCCAATCCCCCCTTCTTTATTCTTCTACTTGTCAAATTAAATACATTAAGGTTATAAAATCATGCTAAAATACTCTTTATAACCCATCTATGCAGGAAGCAAAATAAGGAGTTGAGAGTTGATGAAGTACCTGTGCCATGTGAATGGCTTATTCAGAAGCACTCTCGGTGCTGACTGACAGTTTTCTGGGCTGTAAACCAGACCTCAGCAAAGGCTGGGTTAGTAAGCTCCATCTCGGCCGCCACCGGCTCAGTCAACGCCTAGACCGGTCTTTCCAGGGATGTTGACCGGAGTCTGCCTCTGCATCCCAAAGGCGCAGTGATAAACAGGACAAGGGTTGATCATGGGCACCCAGGAGAGGCCCCCGACTGCAGCCCAGCTTCCACGAGAGACCCTCGTGGCAGTGGGGACAGATATACCAAGCACCACCTGCAGGTGGCGCAGAACTGGGTGACAGACGTGGAACTGAACACAGCCCCAGGAGCCAGCAGCTGAAAGGCAGTCTGCACACGCCAGGCCACTTGTGCCCTGGAACTCCTGGAGAAAGCCAGCATCCCCCACCACGGCCAGGGCGTCAAATCTGCATAGACAGTTTCCTGCTAAGTGTCTCATCCTCCCTGCCGCCAGTGGTACCTCGTCCTTGCAATGACTTCTCACGTTTCCAGGGTTGTTCGTGGGGGCTGTGCAGCACAGCACCTCCACAGAGCACACGCGGCATTTCTGCCACTGAGTTTCCCGGGAAATGTCTGCAGATGGGTTTCTGGAAGAGGGGAAGCACTGGTTCCCTTCCCCCAGGCTCCAGACGGACAAAGCCCGCCTCTGAGAGGTGAGCCTCACCGAGCAACGGGCCCTGGGGCTTGCCTCTGCAAGGCTTTTGCTGACCGTGCAGGCGTCACAATTTTGCCCATCCTGCTAAATTACCTGATCTCACTGACTTGGAGGAGGAGAAGGCTCTCACACGGAGAGCAGCTCAAAGCCTCATTTGTAGGCGGAGTCCCTCTCAATCTAACAGTCATCGGAATGCTGGTGAAGATTAGGTAATAATGAAAAGTGCTTGTAACCTCCCTTAATTGTTTTAGGATTTATTTATTTGAAAGGCACTTAGAGAAGACCTCTTCCCTCCACTGGTTCACTCCCCCAACAGCTGGGGCTGGACCAGGCCAAAACTAGGCGCTGCCTCTGTGTCTCCCCTGGGGGGACGGAGGCCCAAAGACTTAGTCCATCTTCCGCTGCCTTCCCAGGCTTATTAGGAGGGAGCTGGATTGGGAGTGGAGCAGCAGGAACTTACATTGGTGCTGATACGGGATGCTGGCATTGCCACAGCCCCTAGAACCTCACTTGAGAGCAGTGGTTCTCAACTTTACCATCCTGGTGACATCTGACAACGTTTGGAGCTGAGGTGGAGGCTGCTACTGGCGTCAAGTGGGCCCTGGGCAGGGATGCAGCCAAGCCCCCTACCACACAGAGGACAGTCCCCACCATAGAGAACCACCTAGCAGGGGTCTACTCACGGCAGGGGCAGCCAATATCAGAGGGCGAATTTGAGTCCCGGCTGCTCTGCTTCCAATCCAGCTCCCTGCCCAGGCATCAGAGGACAGCAGAAGATGACCCCAGCACTGGGGCTTCCTGGCTTCCGGCTAATTCAACCCTGGTCTTCACAAAGATGTAGGGAATGAACCACCAGGTGGGAGCAGTTTCTCTGTCATTCTGCCTTTCAAATAAATAACCCTTAAAAAACAAAGGATCCCTAAACTCAAATTTCAACAGTGAATTAAAAAAGATGTAACATGTATACCTGCATTTATATCATTACACTTCCATAAAAAAAGCAAAGCAGATGTGGTGCTAACACTCTCTCCCACTACCTATAAAACTGTAACTGTACTGCCCACACAAGCTGGGCTCTGGTTTTGTGGTTTAATTTACAGAAAACAGTAATTCTGGCTTGGGGTTGTTAATGAACTTATTAAACATCTCACCGCTACTAAGGATACATGGGCCATGCATGACTCTCTCTCGAAGAGGAGAAATTTAAAAGAAGAATTCAGATAAACTCTCATGAACCAGTATAAAAGGTGCTTTTCTAGATCCCTAATTTAAAGTTCAAAAGGAAAATAGCCTTTTCATATAAGCCCTATAACACTTCAAATAACATCAGAAGCTGGGTTTACACCACCCAGAAGGGGTGGATGCCCCTGGCTGGCTGAGGTTTCTGGCCCCCAGCTACTGTGCCTTTTAAGTCTCTGCCCTCGGTCTGCCTTTCCTGATTTTTGCAGCTTCCTTTATCCTGATGTTCCTAAAATGCTGTGGAGTGGAAGACTACCAAAACAGCTCCACAGAGAAGCCTCGGGTTCTCCCCTCGGGGTCCCGTTCATTAATTCTTCCTGCAAGGATTCTGCTGTGCTCCGGCAAGGCCTCCCCGCCCGGCCGTCTCCCTCCACCGTTGACAGTTCTTGACCTGACTCACATTCTGGCAGTTGCCACGCAAGCTGTTTCCACATCACCGTTGAGCTCTTCTGGCCACAAGAGCAAAAGCAGAGGCTGTGACTGTTCAACCCAGGAACCAGCCAGGTTGGCAACGCAAGATGGGCAGCCGGCCACGCCCAGATCAGCACACGGGCATCTAGAACCACAGGTTTTTAGCAGTGCCCAAGGCAGCCGCCCGGCCCAGACCAGCCTTGGTTTTTTGAAGCAGGAGAGGGAGAATATCTTGTGAGAGGGTCGGGGCTACAGCGCAGGCCTGGCAAGCACACACGCGAGGTGGACTGGAGCCTTGGGAGAGGCCGTCACAACCCTGCTGAGGCACCAGCGTGACCTTAACTGTGCAGCTGCCTACTGTGAACCCCAGCCCAGTGCTCCCTTGAAGACCCTTAGTCCTGAACAACCTCATCCCTTCCGTTAATGCAAAATTCCATGAGGCCAAGTCCTTTCTGCAAAGCCAACCCAAACTCCTTGATCAAAAGACACCAAGTGTCTTCCAGGCCTTGGCAGACCACAGGGTCACAGCTGCCTGTGCACTGGAGACAGCAGATGGGATCCTTGCATTTCCTCCTCTTGAGACAAACCACTGGTACATGGCACGAAGAAGCACTCGGAGAAGAAAAGCACGCTCCGTCTGGGCTCTGGCTAAAATGAAACTGCAGAACTGCCCAGGACCTCAATCGTACTGCCTGCTGCGGGACTCCCACGGCATTCCCCAAGGAAGAAGCAAGACCTCTGAGAAGTCACAACAAAGGAATTCTCCCGGGGCTCAAGTCCAGTAGCCAACATCGGCACAGGTCATTTCCACCCCAGCAGAACACGCTCAGGGAGCCCCGCCCCCCGGCCGCCCTCCACTCACCAGGACGGGTCGTATCTCACAGAAAACCAAGAGGGACGCCAGTTCGATGTCCTCGCTGTACCCGTTCTTTAGCGGAACGGATCGGAAGCCTGCAGCAGACAGGGGACATGCATAAGAGGTGGTTAATGCCAGCCTTGGCTTTCCTCAGGCCCCAGTGGAAGGAGTGGTTGGCTCCCCTCCGTGGAGCCTGATGCCCTGGAAGTCAGAGAGGGCCCAGCCTGTAGAAGAGGCTGGCACAGCGACGGGCGGCCCCCTGGGGAAGCCCAGTAAGAACTCTGCCATGGTGGAGGGACACTGATTCACTCAGTAATGCGTCCTCACCGCCGCTTCCTCCACTTAGGTCTCGCTGCAGCCCAGGATGCGGGCACGGGCTCTCTCTCTCTCTCTGATGTCCACCGGCAGCAAATCACCCGGCCCAGGACAGCTCCTAGCAGTACTGACCCTCCTGCTCAGAAAGCCGCGCCCCATCGACAGCTCCTACCCTGTGGTCATTTACATGTTTCTCTTACTTGAGTTAGAGGGGGAGGTGGGGCTGACTCCCCCCTGTTTGGTAAGGATGAAGGCAAGGCTTCTCAGAGGTGGGGGTTAGCTGCCTTGTACAAATACAGTGAAAACAGCACTCTGGCTCCCACCCCATCGGCACTGTTAGATAGGGCCTTAGAGACTGTTACAAGACCCTAGTTTGTCCCCAAAACTTGCTAATTCCATGGCATCTCAGTCTGCTGCCCAAGCATTGCCCCAAATCCAGGCACTCCAAGTCTGTCCTCGAAGCCTCTCGCCATTCAGGTTACCAGAGAGCATTCGAGACTCAGCTGCGTCATCACCTTTCAACAGCACCCGTAGACTCAGTATCCATGGCTACCGGGGAAGGAAGCAGCACCCTGAGGTCTCCCTCTCTTCCCTGCAGACAGGTGAGGGAGAACTGTGGCTTCTGCATGGACCTGTCACCTGATATTTGCATTCGTGTTTGTAAGCGGAATCCCCCCACTTTCCTGATGCTACACTACAGCCGTGCTCATGCAGTAAAGCTGAAACATCACTGGGCGCACCTGCACACTCACCGCCCAGACTACCCGGGGCCGTTCCGCGTCCCCCCGTCCCCCCATGTTTTCCCGTCACTCCATGCTTTCAGACACAATTTGGAGTAAAATGAAGCAAGCCTGCTCCCCCTGCTCCCGACTGTGTCCTTAGCCCCAGGTCAGTTTACACTCAACGTGGTTTACACACAATGCAGGGCCCGAGTGTACACAAGGAGCCACCTTCCTGCTGAACTTCACTGTAGGTGTCTCAATGGGTGGAATATGTCCTCTTTCGTTTTCTTAGACGTGAGCTCCTGGGACATGTGACCTGGGAGGTGTGCGTGTCGGGAACCCTGTCGTCTGATTTTTTGCTGGTGGTGGTGCTGGTATGTGTCACCCACAGAATTCTCACAGGTAAGCCAGCGCGACTCCAACTTCCATGTGCACGTGAGGTCTGGGGTGGGGCCTGATGTCCCCAACCTCTGATGAGCTGTGCACAGAGGGGGCTGTCCCAGGAGCTGGAACGCTGAATGCTATGTGGGGCTGGCAGGAAGCCGTGCACTCCAGGAGTGTGGCTCCACGCCAGGCAGTACTGACAGACACTTGGTGGGTGCCTCCATGTCCACATCTCGTGTTTATGCACAGGGCAACCCTCTATGTTTACGGGAACTGGGCTCAAAAGTGTTTCTCACTTTCCCCCAAAATTGAATTTGTATTTTCTCATTTGCTTGGGTCGTTTCACAGAGAAAAGGAAATCAAAGCTGTTTCTCTACTTGAAAAGATGAGGCTGGGGGCTTTTGGACTGCAACAGGAAGAAGGCAGGGCTCACCAGGGCAGGCTCCAGAGCGGGAAGTATACGGCTTTGAAGTCGCACACTCCTGGGTCTGAGTCCAAGCTCAGTCCCACGTGTCTAAGACGGTGAGCAAGTTAGTTTAGACCTGCAGCCCCAAAGCGTCCAGATATGAAAAGCAGAGGTGATGCAAGCCCCTTCGCAGGATTACTGTGGGGTTAACAGTGAGTTTCAGGTACGCCGTGAACGCTGCTTCCCCGGAGCCCGCCGTGTGACGATGGCCAAGGCTCCTTCCTCTCCTGTCCCTCCCCCCATGCATACGGATGTGCCTGAGAGGAGAGACAGGACTGGGGGGCACTGCTGAATCAGGCTGGAGGCTCTGTTCTTGTCTGCATGGATCTCCAAGCATGGTCACATTTTCTAGAGGAACTGGTGCACTTCCCTGACCAGTGAGATAGAAAAGTTTCGTCAGCTCTGCCTTCTGCGCGAGGAGTAGGCAGGAGGGGTAGCAGGGCCCATAAGCACAGCCACCCATCGGGACAGGGCCAGTCCAGGGGAGACTGGTCAGGAACCAGGCGGCACCAGACCCTGCAAAGCTCTCTGCCGTGGCACGGAGGCCTGGCCCCTACACTCCCTGCCCTGGAACGGGGGGCATCATTCCTCGGCCTTATTTATTGAGTTAATCTAAAAGAAGCACATTACAAATTTCAGAGCCGGGCCAGTTAACCAAGAGGGGTTTCCAAGTATCAGGCCTCTGGGCTTACAACCCAAAACTCTGATTATTACAGTAAATTATAAAAATGGATATTTCCAAAGTGCTACAAAATCTGAGGAGCTAAACATTGTCCAAAATTCTGAGGAATTTGGTTTCCTCAAGGAGCTGGCAAAACATGCAGATTCCTGGGTGCCCCCGGGGCTCAATCAGAACTCCACCGCGTGGGGCCAGGGCTCCATCATGCAGAGGTCAGATGGATCAGCCTGAGTCAGCAAACATTGAGCTGATACCTGATACAGTCCCAAAGGTTTTTAAAGCCCCAGCTTAGCAATTCATGGAGCCCAAGGCTTCTAAAGAGCATCCAAAGTCTGTATTTTTATAGCAACAACTAGAAAGAGAATCTGTCTGGAAAAGTGGTCCTTAGGAACCCGGAAGGGGCTGTGATCTTGCAGCTCAAGTGGCAGAAAGAGCAGCCCAGGGGAGAAGGAAACTGACACCCCAGTGACGGCTGTGGGAGAACCTGCCCAGCGCAAGTGTCCCCAACCTGGGGACAGTCAACGTTCCGCAGTCGGCCGGCCCCATTTATCCCAGATTCCCTGATGGGCAAGAGCTGGTCAGGAGCCCCGCTTGGCTTGGTCCCCACCCAATACAAAAATCCTTTCTCAAACCAGGAAGCACAGGTTAGGGTTCCAATCAACTCCCGCAATGTTACAGACGACAGTGAAGTCCGAAAGTTTAGGCCCGATGAACCCCAAGACTGGCAATCCCACCAGAGCCTAAAGACCTCCCCTTGACCACCACTGCTTCTAAGCACTTAACAATGAAATGAAAAGGAACAGCAACCCAGACTGACAACCCCCTACCGATCCAGCAAACACAGCTGGCTTTGATGTCCTTGGGCACCACTTCACTGCCCCCCAGCCCCACCGGCCAGCTCTCCAGGCTCCCCCACCACTGCTGCAGTGACTTAATGGAAGCCAGCAGCAAAGGCCCCAGAATGGAGCTCGTGGGCTCGAACACCTGCTGCCGATGCCCCTTACCTGACTTGATGCCTTTGATGGGGTAGGTGGCGTGCGCGAGGAAGTTGGGGTCACTGAACATGTCTTCCTCATAAACCACAAAGCGCAGAAACGCCAGGTTGGGGTCGTAAATCTCAAATGTCACCTTCTCCTGGGTCGACGCCCAGACTGGGTTGAGGCCGTTATCATCTGGAAGGAGGGCAGAGCTCAGTCCAGGCCATCTCGCCCTGCCCCACCCCAGCCCAGGGTCTCTGCCTCCTTCAGCAGCCATGCAAATAAACCGTTCTCTATGCCAGGAACTCAGCCAAACCTGGGTCCTGCTCTTTCCCCGCCACGAGCTCTCGTGATCACAGGCCCGACCTTTATACGTCGAAGGGAACTGCCTGCTCCCGTGGGCGTCCCCATCTCACTGCAGACGGGGGACCCAGACGCATAGAACGAGGCCAGCAGCAAACCTTCAACAGTCCACAACCTCTTCGTTCAGCACCAAGAGCTGTTCCCCCGGTTTGCTGCTAGCCTTGTTCTAAGTGGCTGGGTCCTTCCCAGGGTCAAGTCACCCAGGCTGAGCTGAGTCCTTGGGTCTGCTCACCTTCGACCCGGGAGACACAGCAGGTGGGAGCTGTCATGGGTCAAGGGCCTGGCCTAGGACTCAGCCTGACTGCACAGCACTGGGGAGTAGTCCAAAAGTTTAAGTTGCTCCTAGCTGGGGCAGCGTTGTCCACTAAGAAATCGCCCGTGGGGGCTGGCACTGTGGGTGCAGTGGTTTAGGCCATCACCGATGATGCCAGTATCCCACGTGTGCCCTGGTTCCAGGCCTGGCTGCTCTACTTCCACTCCAGCTCCCTGCTATGCAGTGGAAGACAGTCCAAGCATTTGGGCCCCTGCCCTCACGTGGGAGACCCGGAAAAAGCTCCTGGCCCAGCCACGGCCATTTGGGGAGTAAACCTGAGGCTGGAAGATCTCTCCTCCTCCCGCTCTCTGTAACTCCTCATTTCAAATGAATAAGTTATTAAAAAGAAGTCCCCATGAACAGCCTCCCTGTGTGTGACTCTAGCTGCTCTCTGCGTTGAAAAAAGGGCAGAGACCACTTACTCACGACCGTCGTCTTAAATTTGTTGTTGTCGCACTCGGCTCCACAGATTTCTACCTCCACAAAGGGACAGGCGATGCTCCGGCCCAGCTTGGGGAGATGGCGCGCGCCCAGGACCTAGGGCACAGAGCGGAGTGTGGGGCGGGCACAAGACACGTTCCGCCGAGGCAGGGGGGGCAGGAATTCGGTTTGAATTCTGCAGTCAGAGGGTCTCGGGTGAAGGCCCGAGTGTCTCCTGAGAGCACCCCAGTTAACTCGGGGGGTGTCAGCTTCCCCAGCGGGGTCCCATGATCTCGCCCTTTGCTGGATGAGGAGGTGGGGTGGGGTGAAGGCCACAGCTTTAAGGACAAGCTAGACGCTCAGCCCCCGGCCATGTGACCCTCAGCTGGGTCTCACGTGAGCCCATCAACACCACCCCCCATGCCTGGGGTGGAGGGCATGCATGAGGCAGGCAGCTGAGCCCCGGGACCCCCGGCCCGCAGGGAAGGAGGAAGAGCAGGCAGCATCCTTTGCCAGCTGGTCCCCATGTAGAGGGCACAGGTCACATGACCTTCACTTTTCTACCCTCCAAAATCAGAAAGGAGCAAACTTTGACTCCTGAGACCTGCCAGAGGGGAGACCAACCCTCTTCTCTCTCGAGGCCATTTCCCCAGTTTTCTTTCTCTTTCTGGCTAGAGACCGATTCATGACAACAGGGGGATGACCAAGATGGCTTTCGGTGAGTTCCTCTCCCTCTCTTTCCTCCTCAATCACCCTGGGAGGCACGATAGTGTGCGAAAGGTCCTAACCCTGAGTGTGATGCTTCCCCCTGGGGCGGGGGCCTCAGCCCAGCCCTGGGCCCCACCTTGACCGTGACGGTCATCAGGATCCTCCTCTGCGCCTCGGGCGGCATCGGGTCGTACTTCTCGGTCCGCATGCTCTCGGGCTGCAGGACGTAGCCCGTCCGCCCGTTGAGTGAGAACAGCGCGTGGTTCATCTGCATGTACTTGTCTGGAATGAGAGCAGACACGGGCCGTGAGTCAGGCGTGAACACGGCGGAACGGGCGCGGCTTTTCCCAGCAGTCACTGCAGGCAGTTGTTCACAAAGGCCACTGACTCAAGCAAACTATCAGACTCTTAGAAAAAACTGCAGAACCACACGAGGTCATTAAACCTCCTAAATGCTGGAAAAAAGCACAGAAGTTAAGCTTTCATCCAAATGCCTGGGAAATAGACATGTAAACTTTTTTACCTCCTAAGAGCTCCGATCAGCGTACACAATGAAAACTTGATGAGATAAACAGGGTAAGACACCCGCACACTCTGCAGGAAAACCAGTGCCAGTGCTCCCTTGGCACCTGAAGCGACCACCACTCAGAAGGGAGACACCAGGGCTGGCACTGGGGCACGGAAACTTAAGCTGCTGCCTGCTACACCAGCATCCCATATGGGTGCCAGTGTCACTCTTGGTTGCTCCACTTCCAGTCCAGCTCCCTGCTAATGCACCTGGGAAAGCAGAAGATGGCCCAAGTCCTTGGGCTCCTGCCCCTATGAGGGAGACCTGGAAGAGGCTCCTCGCTCCTGGCCTCAGATCAGCTCCAGCTTTTGAGGCAATTTGGGGAGTGAAACAGTGGATGAAAGACCTTTCTGTCTCTCCCTCTCTCTACTTCCCTCTGCCTTCCAAATGAATAAAACTGTTTTAAAGGAAGGCAAGTGAAATATCAGTAAGAGCAGCTCTCATCAGCCACAATGTCTAATTCTTTTTATTTATTTATTTCCTTGAAAGATATAGAGAGGTCTTCCAGCTGCTGCTTCACTCCCCAAATGGTCGCAATGGGCTGAGCTGGGATGATCTGAAGCCAGGAGCCAGGAGCTTCCTCTGGGCCTCCCAGATGGATGCAGGGACCCACGCACTTGGGCCACCTTCCACTGCTTTCCCAGGCACAGCAGAGAGCTGGATTGGAAGTGGAGCAGCCGGATCTTGAACTAGCACCCATATGTGATGCTGGCACTGCAGGCAGCAGCTTTACACGCTCCATCACAGCACCAGCCCCTCTAATCAATTCTAACCCATCAGATGGACAAAGATGGAGCAGCTCAATAAAATGAGGTTCATGAACTGACGCCAGAGTGCCAATTTGTATCTCCACACCCAGCTTCTATGGAGGGCACGATGGCAAACCTCCTGCTATCGGCACCACCGCAGACGGCCGTGCAGGGGTTTTCTTCAGGGCAAAGCTTATCAAAATCCAAGTGCAAGTGCCGGGGAACCCACCCCGCTGCTCCAAGCATTTTGTCCCCCTAATGCACCCCTACCTCTGTAGTACTAGGCTCTCAGAGAAGGTTCCAGAAGACAGTGCAGCGGGTAAGTGTCTCTGATGGGAACAGCCTACAGGGGCCTCCGTGGGAGGCTGGTTAAACAGAACAGTGCCACCCCACGGCAGCCTGGGAAGCCAGGCAAGAGCATAAGGGAGGCTTAGGATACAACAATGGGGGTCAAACCACTGTGCCTCATGCCGCCCTCTGGGGTCCACAAGTGTGTGCGCGTTGCATTTCCCAGCACAAGATGAGTTCCAGGAGAGTCTGAGCCAGGAAGCTCTCAAAGAGGGAAGTTCTGGGGCTGGTCTTACGGCCGCTCTACTTCAGATCCAGCTCCCTGCTAACGCGCCTAGCAAAGCACCAGGGGACAGCCCAAAGGCTTGGGCCCGCCACCCACGTGGGAGACCAAGATGGAGTTCCTGGCTTCTGACGTCGCCCTGGCCCAGCCCCAGCTGTCGTGACGACCATTTAGGGGAGTAAACCAGTGGATGGCAAAGCTGCAGGGGTGTGTGTGTGTGTGTGTGTGCGTGCGCATGCGTGCACGCGTGCTTCTGTGTCTGCTTCTGTTTCTGTCACTCTGCCTTTCAGATAAATAAAAATAAATCTCTTGAAAAACAGGAGGAAAGTGCAGAGAGGAGAGAGCCCCCGAGGCAGCCACTGTGTGCCTGAAGCTGGAATGCACTCCGGGACACTGTAGTCACATAAGCTAACGGACTGTCTCTGTCTGTCGCCGTCACACAGCCGGCCGGGCCCCTTCTTCACCCCACTGTGCTGAAGGCCGCCTGCTGCCCAGCTGCCCTGACAACCCTGACAGTTCCCAGGACACACCATTCACTCCTGCTGGCCCCGCTCCCCCCGCCTGGAAGGACACCCCCCACCCCACCCCCCACGTCCTGGCCACCTGCGGTGCCCCTTTACCTGCCGTCTGGAAATTGAGCGCCACCATCTGGGAGCCGCACAGCCACAGGCGGAAGGGGTCGTAGTTGGAGGAGTCGACCCGCTGTCCCTTCGGGTAGACACGGGTCAGGCCCTTCTGGTTGTAGCGCAGAAGGTCGATGGGCTTCTGTCTGACGATGCTGTCAGCCTTCGTCTCCACAAAGGAGCGGATTTCCCGGAAGTCGGGGTTCTCTGCACACAGAGCAGCTGGTCAGCACTTACCGAGGCTCACGGCACCATGCTGGGGCAGCGGCTGCATGCTCACGGCCAAAGGACACCAGGCATCTCTCTGACACCACACCCAAGGGGCTGCGAAGGCAGCACCAGCATCGCTACCATCAGATTCACCCCTGCCTTCGAGGGTCGCAGGGGTGCAAGGCAGGGGGTGGGGCAGGAAGGTGTATCCGCCTTTTAATCTAGAAATACTGTGATTCACCTTTTTGTTTAAAACTATTTGAAACTACCCTGAAGGGGAAGACGTTACCTAGGTTGTCCTTGGTCTTGCTGGTGGGCTTGCAGTAGACAACCAGGTCGGAGAGCTCAATGGCGATGGACTGGTTCTTCTCCCAGTATCTCATGTTGTTCTCCTGTTTGGAGCCAGGCACCGTTAGCTGGAGCCTCCAGAGCCAGTGCACCCCTCACCTCCTGTGCACGCCCCTCCCCTTCCTCTTCCCCTGCCCTCCCCCTCCCTCCCTTGCCTCCCCTGCAGCCACCTCCTTCCTCCCCCTCCTCTCACTGCCAGAATTCTCCACCAAGCTGCTGCCACCCAGGTCCATGTCCATCTCAGTCCCTGGCCACGGCTCTCAAAAACAGACGGGGTCAGGACGGTGCAGGAGGTGGCTCTCTGTCACCGTCCCCCTCTCCTTTGTCCTCTGCCCCTCTGTTATTCCCTCCCCTGAAGCCACTGCTACACCCAGTTCCAGCCCTCGCACGGCAGACCACGGCTGCCTCGTTGTAATTCTCTCTCCCCTGGGACCCTGGAACAGGCATGTCCCCTCTCCCCACCTCTTACTGTGCCCATGGCGGCTCTGGCCAGAGGTCTGTCTCCCTGAGGCCCAGGCCCATGCCAAAGACTTAGGGGGTCTTTCTCCTGTCTGGTCAAACTCTGAGCAAGGAAGCCCTTCTCACTTCTCCCCCAGTTCTGACCATCAGCTTTCCACCGGCCGAGGGGAGCCTTGGGAAAAGATGTTGAGGGGCCCATCACTGCATGGGGATGCTTAGGCTCGAGTGACGCACGCTAGGGATGTCATGGTGGAGGGGAGCTCATCTAAGCTGGTCCACACCTCCTCTGAGGGTAAGAGTTTACCACCACCTAACACAGCCGGCCAGCATCAAGACCAGACGCTTAAGCCCTGCCTGTGCCATGCTGCAGCCCTGCCTGCTTCTCACTCTCACACCATCAGCCCAGCTCCTGGACGCGACGTCACCAGCAAGCGTTCCACACGCAGCTCACACTTTACACCCTCGGTGTCCGAGCCCCCCGCCTGCTGCCCGCGTGCCCCCACCTCCTCGACGCCACCCACACCACTCCCCCTCACGGGCACCTTTATGGAGAACTCCAACACAGACCAGGAAAGGGGCACTGCCTTCCTGAAACCTCAGTCTCTCTCAGTCTCTGCCTTCCTCGGCCCTGGCCTGTCCCTCGCTGCCCGCCCTGTGGTACTGCAATCCCCACTCTGTTTCCCCCGGGATACGGCAGAGCCCTGCAGGTGGCACGTGTTCAGGTCCTGGGCTGCCCCGGTGACAGCAGCAATACAATCCCACAGCTAAGAAGGTGGGAACTGGAACGAGACAGGAGTTTGAAATGAGAGCCTGCCAGTTTGCTGGCTGTGTCAGTTAGGCCAGTCCTATCATCGCCTCGTGCCTCAGTTTCCACAGCTGTAAAATAAGACTCATCCGAGGATGCACAGGGCTCCTAGAAGATTCTACGGGGAGGCCTTGGCTCTCCACCAGGCACAACGACAAGCAATGAACAGTGGCCACATTGCACTGGGAGACACGTGTTCCAGACAGAGCAGCAGCAGTGGCTCCTGGCACACAAGCAAGCTAGGGCACCCAATTCTTACATAAGGACACCTTCACCCACGAGTGCTGGCCTAATTCCTTGGGTCAGACTTTGGCAATACCCAGTAAACGAGCTTTGATAACAGCTCTGGCTGTGACCACATCACCAGAACAGCTGTGAATGCGCCTCCAAGCTCTGGTATTCCCTCAAGCTCATCCACCCAAGCCGGCCCTCGCCATCCCGTCCCACACCTCCAGAGTGCCCCGGGTACACAGCAAGCCCTGGCAGTAAGACTCGGATTGCTGTGGGCAGGATGCACTGGGCAGAGGAGTCCAGAGATGTCCAAAGTCCACAGCCAAGCACTATTAAGGACACTCAAGCCATACCTCTCCGCCCGGGTCATTGTATCGAGTTGGCTGCGTACTCTGAGTGCCAAATTGCTTCACAATTCCTCTGCACACCTGCACGTGCTAACATCAGGCCACCCCAGTGTGTGGGGTCACAACACATGCCATTGGTTAGGCTTTGGAAACTACTAACCAGACAGAGCACAGTGGCTGGTCTTGCCACAGACCAGAGACAGCCAGAGGGCATGAAAACAGACAGAATGCTGGGCCAGTCCTTAGGGAGACGCCCGTGGGAGACTTTGGGGAGAACCTCCTGGCAGCAGGCCGACAGCCCATCACCCCGCTGCTTCTCAAAGGCAGGACAAGGCCTCTCCCTGTGGCCACAACAGCTCATCGTGTGGGCAGCAGGGCCCACAGTCGGGACCTGGTCAATCTCTGCTGAATGCAGTTTTTGCACTAAGACTAGAAAAACGGTCTCAGCTAATCCTAGCAAACATGAAAACAAACACAGGAGGAGCATCTCAGAAACCCCCACACCGGAGGAGAGGAAGTGGGACAGGGAAGGAGGGAGGACAGACTCAAGTCACAGGAAGACAAGTCAGGAGAGGCGGGTACACCGCTTACCGCCCCGCCCGTGCCCCTCTCGGAGAAAGCTGGGGTATCTGGGATCGGGCACACAGGAAGCAGGTGCTCCAAGCTTGCTCCTGACTACTCTTCTCCATCTTGGGCTAGACGGACCCAGAGACTCAAGAATGAGAACACGCTCAGGATGGCCAGGGGCTGCTGTACGGTGCCACGCAAACAGTGATGACAGCCACTCGGCCACAGCCACGGGTGAGGACAATTCTTCAGATCACCCTCGGGGCAGGGGTGCCCCTGGACTTCTACACTGTACCACGCCGGAGGCATGGGAAGGCAGTGATGTGCCCACCAGGGAGAGTGGGAACGCACCACCTTGCTGGTGCTAACTAGCTCCTGGCCCCCTGGAGGGCCTGGTGATGCAGCGACAAGCCACGGGAGAGTGGGGTGCTGTTTGTGAGACCCTTCACTAGAGTCTGGGACCCGGGTGGGGGTGCTGGCCGGGCCCACCAGCAAGGAGGCCATTCACCTGGCACTCCCTAGAGTCTTCGAGGACAACAGTCTCCCTCCAGGGAGTTCAAAGGCTGACTCAGGGGTCTCTGTTGCCCAGCCACTTCCAGAAAGGAGAAGAGCAGACCGGGATACTGCAGCTTCTGGCGGTGGCGATGGCGTGGGGTGACCACTGCCAGCGCCTGGCAGACAGTGGCTCAGCCATGACGGCCAGAGGTCAGGGGCCTGGGAGCTACAAGGAAGGCTATCCAGTCAGTGCCCTGGTTCAAGACCTAGCTGAGAAGCAAGTGGCTCCATGGGAAGCCCTCGGCCTCCTGTACCCCATAATCCAAGATGTGGCAACACTCTGCCGTGTCGTCATCCGGCACAAGGATGACGTGGGCACTAAGCCCCACGGAGGCTGAGCCTTACGCTTCTCACCCATCAGCTTCTGGGTTACCTGCTGGGCTCCTCGCTTTATAAACAGGGAAACTGAGGCCCAGAGGAGTCAGGTCACTTGCCCAGGGCCCAGGCTGCCAACTGGAAAACCTCCTACCTCCTCAACACACTTGCAGCCCTACGCTGCTGCCCAGATAGGGAAACCTAGAAAAAGTCATTCCCATCTGCAGGAGAAAGGAGCGCATCTTGGCTGTCTGCGTTCAGGGGCCAGGGAGCCAAGCCCAGCAAACAAACGCTGGCTGTGGGCAGGGCTCTGTCAATGTTGGGAAGCGACGCACGCAGAGCGAGGAAGGCTCCGAGCCTCCCGCAGGCTCCAACAGGCCGCAGCTTCCCAGGGGACTTCTACCACCCCTTTCTGCTCCAGAGCCAAAGACAGAAGACAGACATTCCTACTGTCTGCACCCGCCCTGCATCCGCCTCACATCCGCGTGGCCCCTGGACCTGCTCCACTTGTGGCGCGCACCCCCCCCCCCCACAGCCGCAGCAGGTGCCAGGGGCCTGCGGACTCCGGGCGCGCCTGCGGCCCAGGGCCTACCTTGGTGTCCATCTTCCAGTTGATCTGCCGGATGCTCTGGAACCACTCGAAGAGCTCTTCCACCCTGTCCGTGGCGAACTCCACTGGAGGATCCCCCTGCTTCTTGGGCTCCAGGATAAACACGAAAGACTTCTGGTTTTTGCCCTGTGGGGCTTTCACTGTGGGGAGAGAATGAGTGAAGTCCTGATCAGCCCCCGGACAGGCCCCAAAGACCAGACCTGGCACCGCCCAAGGGTTCTCACTGAGCGAAGCGGTCAGCCGTCGCTATCCCCGTGCCTGGCGCTGCCTGGGGTGCCCCCTCGTGTTGGCTGCATCTGGACCCTTACACACCCTGCTGTGCCAGGAAACAGCGAGCCGAGTCCTCCGAAGGCACACATCCCAGCCCCTGGCCCCTGCGACCGTGACCTTGTTTGGAAACTGAGTCTTGGCAGATGTGCGCGAATTAAGGATCTCAAGATGAGACCGTCCTGGATTTAGGGTACACCTAAAGCCCCGTGTCTTTGTAAGGGGAAAGAGAGGGAGTTGTGAGACGCAGACGCAGCGCAGGAAGCACGTGAGGGTGGAGGCGGAGCAAGGACGGGTGGGGCCGCAAGCCAGGGACCCCGAGGATGCCAGCAGGCACCAGAAGCCAGGAGCGGGGCATGGAACGGACTCCACATGCTGAGACAGCAAGGAACAGAGACTGAAGATCAGGAGGGGGAAGATCAGGAGGGGGAAGATCAGGAGGGGGAAGATCAGGAGGGGGAAGATCAGGAGAGGGAAGATCAGGAGGGGGAAGATTAGGAGAGGGAAGATCAGGAGGGGGAAGATCAGGAGGGGGAAGATCAGGAGGGGGAAGATCAGGAGGGGGAAGATCAGGAGAGGGGAAGTTATCTGTGAAACAATGCGCGTAGCTGGGATTCCTGAGCTCCTTCAGCCAGCAATACTCCTGGCAGACCGTGCTCTGCATCCTATCGGTCCCTCTCACAACCCTGGGAGGCCACTGCTCCTGCCAGGAACAGGAGCGGTTCGTGGAGAGAAATCACAGAGGGAAGGGCGCCTAGCTGGGTGTGTGAAGGCTGAGGCTCAGAGCAGACCTGGCTCGCACCTGCTGAGCCCTGTGCAAACCTGGGGAAGGGAAGGATTCGCAGACCATCGGCCGTGCAGACAGGTGCCCCGAGCCCCCTCTGCCACCCTGCCAGGGGCCCACAGACACACGCTGCGCTCGCTCAGCAGATACCTATCCTGCCAGACCGTGACAAGGAAGCCAAAACGAGCAAGCAAGCAAGCAAGCAAAGCCAGTTACTCAATGCAGAAAGCGAAATGCTGGCAATGGAAGGAAAAACTTCCCGAGGCCAGGGCAGCGTGCACAGGTGTTCCCAGGGCCCTGGCGGAGGCAGTAAACCCAGGTGAACCAATCAACGGCTGCAGGGAACACGAGGCCTGCTCCAGACAGGAAGGCTTCCCATGGAAGAAGGCCGAAGAATGTTCCTCCTTAGCGCCTGCAGCTGCTCCACGGGAGCTGCAACTTTCCCACTTAAAAGCGGACAGACGCAAGGCCCATGAAGCCCGTGGAGCATCCCACCTGCCTCCTGGATAGGCCCATGTTCAAGCCGTGCCCTCACTGCCCTCCCCCTAGCATCCCCGGACGTGGGCAGCCTGGGTTTCCTGACCCCTGGCCGAGCAGCCAGAAGCTGCAGTGCAGAGAGCAGAAGCAGAGAGCCCAGGGCATCACAGCAACCAGCGGGCAGAGCTGTGCTCACAATCCAAGAGTCTGGCTCCAGCCCCATCTCAGCCTGGCCAACGGCTCGGCTCTCCTGCAAAGAGCACGGGGGACGCAGCAGACCCCCCGCACAACGAAGCTGGTGGCAGTGGCACCTGCCCGGTACTCCATACCAGGGCTTCAGAAACTACCAGCAGAGTTCACGCGGTTGTCACTGACTGGCCTGTAGTTGTGGTCCTTGGCTGGAGCCAGCACAGCAGCTGGCCTCAAAGTCAAGGCCGGACAGGACCCCGCGTTCACCGCCTCCCTGTCTGGGGTGGTTCTGAGGTCAGGCCTGGGGGACGAGGATGGGTGTCCGGGGTCAGCCACGTCTGCACATACCCACGTTATAGGAGTTGAGGTCCAGGATTCCTCTACAGAGAGTGCCTAAGGGGTTGTCTTCGATAATCTGTGAGGAAACAAGACATAACTCAGGGCTGTCGGAACAGGAATAATAAAAAGACAACCAGTTTCCAAAGCACACCACTTAGCAGGGACGCTGCCAGTGGAACTGTTTAAAATGCGTTTTCATTACAGGAGCCGTCCACGGGGAGGGCACTAAATAATGCAGCGTGGAGATGACGGGCACCTAGCGGCGTGTGCAGGTGCAGGCTGCTTGCTGATTCCTCTGCAGGTTTCGAGATGCTACCTCAGCTCTGGGTTCCTAAACAGACCGTAGGCCCTGCCTCCGACGTGACGACGGAACGGGACCGTTCAGCTCTCTAAAGCCCGGCTCAGCAGCCTCCCGTGGCTTCCCACGGCCTGCTGGAGCTACACCCTTGCTGTCCACGGGGCCTGCAGCACTCCAGCTCTGCCTCCCACTGCACTTGAACCAGACCAGGGTCCAGCTAAGACAGAGAATAGGTGGGTCTCAGGAGAGCCGCACCCCCAGCTCGCACTAACCCCAGCCCCTACTACACGGCTAGGGTGGGAGGCGGTTTTGTCTTTGCCTCAGCCCAAGCCCAGGAGCACAGTCCTGTGCCCACCACCGCACCTTGCTTAGTGGTGCCTCCCACCTACCATTCCCTTCTGCCCGTCACTCACCATCGTACTCTAGCTTGACCTGGAAGGCCCACATGCCCCTGTCTCCAGGGAGCCTTTCCGGTTGCCCCATCTCCCCTGGTGTGTGGCATGCCGAACGTGGCTGCTCCCCACACCTCCTGGACCACACAGCAGGGCCACGGCCACGTCTGACCGCCGGCGAGGCCCGTTTGCTTGCTCACCCCGAGCACGCACGCAGCGTCTCACTGCGCGGCTCAATGTGTCTCATTTACAGGCTGCTCTGGGCAGAGTACGGACTCCCCGTTCGGCCACTGTGGCTCCGGTGGGAATTTGGCTGCATATTCAAAGCCTTCCAGCTCAGCACAACCTGATTAAAACGCAACTGGCTGGTGCCCGTGACTTTCACCTGCAGCAGCTCGGATTCAACCCCAATTTCCTGTCGCTCCATCTTCCCTTGTTTGGCAGCTCCACAAAGACCCCGCGTCGCAGCACGCATAAAAATGCAGCCCGGCACGGCTGCGGGAGCCTCCCTGACCGGCACCCCAGCGGCTCCCTGCTTGCTGGGACGCGGGCGGGAGGCTCACCTGCTTTTCCAGCTCCTCCACGTCCACTGTGGAGATGTCCTCGACGTAGTTGGACGGAAAGTACTGCTGGATTCTGGTCCCGTAGTCTCCTTTCCACCTGCAAGGAGACAAGAGGCCCCAGGCCGTCACCAGCAGCAGGTGTCGGCTCCAAGCTGCCGGGGGAGAAAGGCGGCCGGCGGCCAGGCGACCACAGGCGGCGGTCAGTGCCGAGGGGGCGTTTGCTTCCCTTCTTTCATCAGCAGTGCGCCGCCAGGGGCTCACGGTCCTCCTCTCGACACCCACGATTTGGTCGGGGACACCGGACATCTCCAGGCTCAACACCTGGAGCAGAAGTTGAAAGCCGTGTAACACACAACAGCTCAACGCCAGGGCGGGCCTGAAACCACTTCCCGGAGGGTTGTGGATCTAAAGGCCAGGGCTGTCTGACGAGGGTGCTGCAGCCCGGCAGCCTGCGATGCAGTCTGAGCTCCGTCACCGACCAGACTCTGCGGCTGTTCACGGGGCTATGCTAGTGCCCACGCGGGCGGCTTTATCGGCGCGTACGTCCAGTATGCAGGCACTCCAGAAAGGACATGGGAAGTGGAATTGAGAGGTTAAGCTTATTCTGGTGCAGAAAGTTTTTAATATTCATGCAGTTTCTTTTCGAAAGAAGCCTTTTCCACTAACTTTTTGAAGACCTCTTGTGCACGCAGAGAGTGCAACACACTCAGTAGCGTTAGTTCTTGCCGTCATTCGGCTAAAATACAGCTCCCTGCCTTCCCAACGGCCCTAAGGGCATGTGGTGTGGTTCACCTATGCATGTGCCTTGACCCCCAGACAAATGACCCCCCCCCCAGTCCATGCCCGGGCTTGCACATCTGCTCTTTCCCACCGGGCCGTCGTGGGGACTCCTCTCCACAGCCAGGGGCTCCTACGCGATCATGCTGCTGCCCTAGACACAAGTCAGCTCCGCAGGGCCTTCAGAACCTAGCCTGTCCCCTAGCGGTCGGTGCCCCGCACGGTCATTTGGGGAGTGAACCAGTAGCTAGAAGATCTCTCTCTCTATCTCTCTCTCTCTCTCTGTCTCTCCTCTCTCTTGGCAACTTTTACTTTAAATAAATAACTAAATTAAAAACAAAAAAGCATCTCTGATTGGGTAAGAGGGGATGGTCCCTCTAGCCCCAAAGGAACTGGTTTGGAAGTTTAGAAAAAGTAGTCTAAGGCAGGCAGCCCACTAGGTGGCGGTACTGCTCCCATAGCAGAAGACATGAGCGAGACCTCTAGCACCAAATTTATGTTGAAGGCCCCCCCAACCCGGCTCTGAATCTATCTCAGGATGAGAGCCTGGGGAATTTGGAGAGGCCCAGGGCGGGGGCATGGGATGGTCTGAGGCGTCACCCCCACCCCGCCCCACCCAGTGAGAAGCAGGTGCAGGAGCAGCCTGGTGCAGAGATGGTGGCTGAGCCAAGCTCCCAACTGGGAGACAACCCAGTGGGCGGCAAACCAAGGGCCGGGGTGGGGGAGGGGCACCGAGGACTACAAGGTGGACGGAGGTCAACGAGAAGGTCACAGCAGGCAGCCCCAGGCCCCCGCAGCCGCTTCCACGGGGAACTCTGCTGTTACTTATTTGGAATGAGAGGTTCAGCTGATGTTAGCAGGAGGCTTTGAAACAAAAATCCCTGGATTAGGGCACCTTGCAGGAGTGTGCAGAGCAACGAGGCACATGGGTGGGTGAAGAGGGTGGGCGCTGGAGGCAGAAGACCCTAACTGACATCTCAGCCTGCTGTGTGGTCCCGGGCACGTAGCTGAACTTCTCTGTGCCTCAGCTGCCTCGTCTGAAATGCAGGTTGTCAGGTGGCTCGGGTGAGTTACCCTGAGTGAAATGCTACCGTAGTGCTTGACCCACCCACACACTCCAAGTCAGGCCCAGTTGTCTTGTGGGAGGAAAAAAGGCTTGACCCTCTGCCTGGTCTCAGGGTTCCACGCAACTTCTCACTGCTCATGGGAAATCACCGCACAAAACCACTCGTCTAGGGACCGACTGATGAAAACTGGGAACAGGTAACCTGAGTAAGCCCAGGTGGCTCTGACCTAAAAATGCACTCACAGCACTGAGGATGGCGCCGTTGCGGACAGCACAGGACTAAGCAATAGCACACGAATTTGAATTTAAAATAATGCGCAGACTTGCCCAATGGGATGACTGCACACTTCAGCCACCGTGCAACCTTGAGGAGAGCCTCACTTACTGCATCTGTGAAGTGGGGGTAACCACAGCTGTAATTCAGAGTGACTGTAGCCAGGATTTGGTGAGAGGACTGATATGCAACCCATGGCAGCTGCTGCTGGATTATAGTCACCAACGACACAGGGTGACAGGACACAATGGTGATTAAAACTGCTACTTGCCCTCCTTCCCAGGAGCTCAGCCAAGAACGGCAGACAAAGGGAGTAAGCACTCAGCCACACCTGAAGCACCCCTGAGAAGGGACAGGACACCAGCACCTGCCAGGGCGCCCAGCCCCCACCCAGCCTTACCAGCCACCGGGCTCCTTGGAGACGTTGTGGATCAGGGCACCGCGGCAGAAGCTCAGCTCGTCACTCTGCTTGGCTTTGTAGTCATAGAGAGCTTTCACGGTTCTCTGAGGCTTTAAGAGAAAACCAGAAGGCACGGGTCAGCCAGGACCATAGGAGCAGAGGTGAACGGACCTCTCCACTCAGTTCTCACCAGGGAGCAGAGCCTGCTGCAGCGGCAATGTCACTGCGCCATCTGCTGGCCAATGGCTGGTGCTGCAAAGCCGCCGAGGTCCCCAAAAGTCCCCAGGGAGTGGCAGTGGGAACTGACGAGAGCAGAGGACATTTGGGAGTCGCCCACTATTGCTTCGTTTTCTCAACAAAGAAAGGGTATGCCTTTTAGGTAAGTATGACGGCCTCAGCTCACCAACACAAGTTCAAGGGCAGTGCTGGGGGCCTCCCCACTTTCTACGAGGGCCAGGGGTCCTCAACTGTGCCCTACAGGGTGCTGACGTTTCCAGGAGTAACTGAGGCCCTCTCCATGAAAGGCACCCACAGGCGGGCTCGCTGTCGGCAGAGATAAGGCAGGCAGACTTTCCCGAGAACACATTTCTTCCCGGTGAATTTGCCTTTACACCTGGGCCTGGCAAGCAGAGACCACGACAAAACTAACACGCACACGGCAGGAACACATCAGCAGGAAAACCTGTGGGATGGTGAAAGCTGATTCCATCGGGGCTCCGCTCTCCCCCCACCAAGGAAACAGGGGCAGGGACTGTGCAAGGAGCCCGGTACACCTGCTCCTCAAAGCACGCGTGGGCTATGCAGTCAGATGCACACTTTCAAATCACTGCTGTGCCTCTTGCCAGCTACTCAAGCCTGAGACTCTCTGTGCCTCAGTTTTTCTGTCTTTGAAATGGGAGTTGGGGGTTGACCTATTTCATGGGAATGTCAAAGTGAGATAGCACATGTGATAAATGTGGTAAGAAGGAATAGCTTGTTGGGGCTGGCGCTGTGGCGTAGAGGATAAGGCCGCTGCCTGCAGTGCCGGCATCCCATATGGGCACCAGTTCGAGACCCGGCTGCTCCACTTCTAATCCAGCTCTCTGCTATGGCCTGGGAAAGCAGTAGAAGATGGCCCAAGTCCTTGGGCCCCTGCGCCCACATGGGAGACCAGGAAGAGGCTCCTGGCTTCGGATCAGCCCCCTTCTGGCCATTGTGGCCATCTGGGGAGTGAACCAGTGGATGGAAGACCTCTCTCTCCCTCTTGCTTGCTCGCTCTCGCTCTCTCTCTGCCTCTCCTTCTCTCTCTGTGTAATGCTTTCAAGTAAATAAATAAGTCTTTAAAAAAATAGTTTGCATTTCTTAAGCAGTTAATATAATCGAAGCCTGGTTCTAAGCCTTTGTCGTGTCGCCTTTAATGCTCACAACATATCTACCAGTAGTGGTATTATCATGCCCATCTGACAGATACTGAAACTGAGGCAAGAGACAGGAACTATTGAGTCCACAGTCGACCAGACATTAATGGCTGCACCCAGAGCTAGCTCAGTGCTAGAGTCACTGCTGCAGTTCCTGGTGTTCCAGAAGAAGTCGCGGGAGGCTCTGCCGCGGGGAGCTCCGAGCAGAAGTGACCCAGAAGCCGTCCCATCTCTCCCGACCTGCACTGGAGCAAGCTCAGCCTGTGTGTCCTGCTTCAAGGCTGACAGAGGGACCACAGCCAGGCTCGAGGGCCTGGTGCTGGGGCCCGGGGCACGTAACGGCTTCCAGAGGAGGACTCAGCCCGTCAGGTGGGAGCAGGGGTCCTCACGCACCACACAGGGGAGCTGCCCACCGGAGATGAGCCACGTGGTCAGCAGCACACACCTCAGTCGGCCTGAGTCCAAACTCCAGCCCCACACCTCACCAGCCACTATTCAGCCGCCCCGTACCTCCACTTGCTCACCTGTAAAATGGGCACAAAAACAGGGCCTGCTTGGCAGGGCTGTTAGGATTGGTGAGCTAGCAACCACTGTCAAGGACTTAGCCCAGCACGCGGTTGTGGTCATTGCCACGGGCTACCCATCGTTACCACTCTGCTGCAAGGCTGGGAATGGCCCAAATGGCCATGGACGGGGAATCGGCGACGCTGGCTCAGTCACCCAGAGCATTCTGGGACATCTGCCCCATTTCAATGTGCCTCATTGGACAAAGTGCCCCACGAGTTCCAACAGACAAGGCCACTACGATGAGCGATGGGAGAACCAAGCAAATAAAAATGGCAGGTACAGGAGCGGGCAGGAAAACACCTTCCCTGGAGCAGAGACCAGGAGGAGCCGCTGGCCGGGAATCGGCAGGCCAGGGCTCCTCGCCGTCCCTTGACCCGCGTGTTTGTTCCTCACAACATCATCTCCCAGCCATAATGGCGATCACTTTCCTTCCAGGTGCCCGGCAGCTGGCGCACAATCCTGGCACACCGCCGGGTCTGGCATGGCTCACGCAGAGACGAGACAGGAAGATTCTAAAACTTGGTTTCATCACCACAGTTTCAAAACCGGGAGATTGCTGGTTGGGCTTGAGAAATCAGAAGCCGCGGGCTGCCTCTTGACAGGTGGCCATCAGCTGTCACTGCGCGGGGGCCACTCCCGAGGTGGGGGCCTGTGTAGCTCAGTTTACCCTCGTGTCCCTCATCCCTGCCACCTGGCCAATAGGAGGCCAACAGCCAGCTGCTGTCTGTTACTAACCGTGCATGGTTTTGTCACAGTCAGGACAGACAGAGGAGATTGTAAAGTAGTTCTTAGGCCCGACCAGCTCGCCTCACTCCTGTTAGCTGCCCCGTCTTGATGGACACTTGAGTTGGCAGCCTCTGTTTTATGAAATTGTGGAGATAAAAGAGGGACTCAAGCCCTTCAAAATTAACTCCGAGGACAGCATGTGGTCAGGGAGAAAGAGCCAGGGCTGGAAGTGACACATCTGCAAAACCTGTCTATAGGGGATTGGGGCATTCGCGTCACCAAGCCGACATTCTTCACTCCTCATCAAAGCCTCTGCTGCCAGCTAAGACCCCTTAATGCATTTCGCACACAGCTCCGTCTACGCGCACCTCCTCAAGACTTCACTTCTTGCTCAAGGACATTGGCACTGGCAGAGGATTATACATTTAAAAAGAAGAAGAAATTTGTCTCTGGATTTCAACAGAGCCACCAGCAGGGCCCCTTCCTAAGCGAGAATCGTGCCCCCAGCAGAAAATCTGCCATCATGCCCCCTCCACCGGCTCAGGCTAAACTCCAGATGAAGCCCCAGCGAGCAGAGGCTAAGGTAGAACCCGTCCCTGCCCGCAGAGTCGGGGTGGGAACGTGAGATATGCCGGCCCCTAAGGAGGTCAGCCAACCACGCAGAACACGCGGGCACCGCAGGCCGCGCCAGCAAGCAGAACACGCGGGAGGGACTTTTAATTAGAAGCCGTGCGGCCCAAAGATGGTTCAGAATTGTAGCAAGGCGACGCGGCGTCCGGGTAGAATTCCATTAACCTTCTCCCTGAAGCTAGACGTCGTACTGTCAATCACTAGTTCTTCTCCCTCCGCCCCCCAACAAAACACCTTTTGGGGAGAGCAGGTTTTTGGCCCTGTCTTAATGCTCATGGGGGTAAGGGGGGAGGGAGGGGTGGAGAGGAACCATCTCGACCTGGGCTAGGGCACCGTGACCCAGAAGTGTGTTCGTACCATGGAAGGGTTGATCTCACTCGGATCCACGTACATCCTACTGACGTCATACAGGGAGTTTATGTCTCTCTCCTGAAAAAAGAAAAAAAAATCAACAGAAAATAAATTGGCGCGTCCACGCACCTGCCCCAGCCTTTAGAATAAGGGCTGTGGCCGGCCGTCTTGGGGTTGCCTCCCCTTCAGTGGAAGAGTTGAAACCTCGCAGAATCTGCCTGTGACCCATGGGTGGAGACGGAAAGGGGCCATACGGCAGTCCCCCCAGACGTGGACACTACCCCCTTAGCACAGCGGCCCCTGCAGCCACACACGGCCTCACATCCCATGGTGCACCGGGGACAGCTGGCGGCGTGCACCTCCTCCCCAAGTGGCCACCGTGGAAGTGGTCACGCCACAGAAATGGGCCAGGGTCGCCAAGCAGCGCACCAACACCCAGTGCCGGCCACTGCCGCTGTCTTGGCGCTGGCCCTGCCACCTGCCTTTCTGTTCTGTCACTTCAGCATTTGCACCACGGCCACTCCTCCCTTCCTGGCTCCCTGGCCACCCCCCACCCCTTCTCTGCCCACACGCCCGCCTGTTCACCCTGGCTCAGGCCAGCCTGTTTTATTTGCTTCCTTATAATTCATGCAGACCCAGAATGTCTTAGCTGTGTAACCGGGTGCCCTAGAGAACCCACAATTCCCAGCAGCCCACTCTGTCCCCAGGGCTCCCGGCATGGAGAACAGCTCCTGGCACGCGGCTGGGGCACGACAGATCTCTTCAATAAATTAGTGAATCCGCCTCCTGGGATGAGGCACTGTCATCGCATCAGGTCTCTTCCAATAGCTCAGAGCAGAGGCCAGGCCTGCCAGGCCCCCAGATTCCAGCCCCCTGTTCACCACCTTCCTGGTGGGCTCTCTTCTCGCCCACCCCGGCTCACCCCATCCCAGCCACGGCAGCTCCTGTCCGGGCCTCCAGGCTGGCGTGGGCTGTGTGACCGCTGCACGTGCCGCCCTCGTGTTCTCGAGCGAGGGCCACGGCTCCCGGCTTCGCAGTGCAACTTCCTGAACCGCTCCTGGCCAACAGCAACCCTTCCCCATCGCTCTGGATCTACTCATCCGCCTTCACGTTTATGCTATCTGCATTTGACTTCTCTCCCTGTCTCCTCCACGGCCAACTCTAAGTAGCAGGAGGGAGGACCTGGGTCTGCTGAGTCCGCGGGAGCAGGAGCGGGGCCACGGGGGGGTCCTCCAGGAAGCCTGTCGGTGCAGCGGCGGCCAGCCCGCCGAATCCCGGCGCGCCCACCACCTACCATGCTGTAGCGCTCCAGCAGCTCGGGCGTCACGGGGTACCGCAGCCTCATCTTCCGGTACAGCGTGTGCTTCTCGTAGTAGCTGACGAGCTCCACGAGGCTCTCGAAGTAGGCAGAGGTCCCCAGCACGAAGTGCCGGCCATCGCGGTTGATGCGACAGTGCTTCACCTTGCCCCTGGCCCTGGACGGGGAGACCACACGAGACTGGCACACCAAGGTCCTGGCGGCCCCGCGGCTGCTCTCCAAGCCCCACTGCTGAGCAACACCCTGGGGTACACCAACAGGGCACAGCCCTCCTAAGGAGCAACCACCACCATGGGGGAGTTTCCAAGAGATCTAGCGAATTCCGTCTCAGGAGAAATGCGGCCGCGTGATTGGACAGCTTCTCCTTCCTCCGCTCCCAACCACCGAACCTGACTTTAAAGACAACTATGGCCATGGTCAAAGCTGCCTCACTGCCTATTTTTATAAAGTTTTATTGACACACGGCCACCATTCATTTATTTAAACGTTGCCAGTGGCCGTCTCTACAATAGCAGATCTGGGCCCCTGCAACCAAAGCCATGTGGCCCACAACGCTGAAATACGCCCTCCAGGAGCCTCTACGGAAAATGTTTGCCAGAGCTCTAGAGCCCTGGGCCTTGGTGACCAGATCCTTCAATTGTGTCTCCAGGGGCCCAACTAACACAATGATGGCTTTTTTCTAAAATGAAATATCATTCCTTCATTCACCTGAAACAAGAGGCAGGAAAAAATCCAGACCGAATCTTAAAGGCATTTGGAAAAATAAAATTTGTCCCTAACTTTACAGCCAAGACAATCTTTTTTGGGGGAAAAAAAAAAGCCTACCTCAAATAGCCAAAGCAATCTTGAGCAAAAAAGAACAAAGCTGGAGGTATCACACTACCTGGCTTCAAAATATACCACAAAATTATAGTAATCAAAACAGCATGGTAATGGCACCATCAGACACGTAGACTAAAGGAACAAAACACAAAGCCAGAAGTAAATGCGTACATTCAGTCAATCACCTTTCAGTAAAGGTGTAGAGACCACAGGACAAGAAAGGACAGCTCTGGAGTAAACGGTGCTGGGGACACTGGATGACCACATGCAGAACAATGAGGCTAGATCTTGACCCCACACCATGTACTCAAAGCAGATTAAAGACATAAATGCAAGGCCTGAAACTGCAAAACTACTAGGGGAAAACCCGCACACATTGGTCTGGGTGATGATTTTTTAGCACAAGCAACCAAACCAAAAACAGGCAAATGGGACTGGGTCACACCAAGAAGCTTCTGCACAGCCAAGGAGACAATCGACAGAGCAGAGAGAAACTCCACATTGTGGGAGAAAACATTCGTCAACCACGTGTTTGGGAAGGGACTGATATACAAAGGACGCAAGGAATTCAACTCAGCACTAATCACCCAATTTTTAAAACAGGCAAAGGATCCGGATAGACATTTCTCCAAAGAAGACGCAGAGGTGCCAGCGTGTGACACTGTGGTTGCCACTTCACGACACCAGCATCCCGTGTCAGGGCCCCAATTCATGTCCCAACTCCTCCACTTCTGACGCAGCTTCCTGCCACGTCACTGGGAAGCAGCGGATGATGGTCCAAATACCTGAGTCCCTGCCAGCCACGTGGGAGACCCGGATGGAGCTCCTGGCCCCTGGCTCCAGTCTGGCCTAACCCTTGCTGTTACAGCCATGTGGAGAGTGAATCAGTGGATAGAAGACCTCTCTCTGTCTCTCCCACTCTAACTCCGCCTTTCAAATAAACACATAAATCTTTAAAAAAAATTTAAGAAGTAAAAACTTTGTACTTTAGAAGTTCATTTTTTTTTATTTTCAGAAACACATCCAGTTAAGTCATAAATACTAAAGTCCTCTGCTTTGGTGGCCGATTAGCAAGGGTCTTTTATTATTAAGAAGGAGAATGGGCCAGGCAACAAGAAGAGGACGGGGGCAGACAGGAGCAACCTGTTCCCACCAGGGCAGCTGGCGTGCAGCCGGCAGCCGCTGCCTCCCATCCTGCCCGCAAAGGGTCTGGGCTTGTGAGTGACATTTCTCACTGCCTCACATCACCGGGAAGACTGGGCAGAAGACGTCTCCAGCAGGTGACCTGCGGGCCACCCTGGGCTGGAGACTCTGCAGGGAGCAGCACGGGCTCCGGCCGTGGACGGGCCTGAGCCGAATCCCGACTTAGCCAGCAAGGCGCCTGTGTGGCTCCAGACAGCTGGAGGGACAGGAGGAGGACCTGGGGCTCAGTCACCCCATCACTGTCACGGTGGAAGGGGAAGCATCAGGCGTTTGGGGAACCGCAACCCTGTGACAGTGCAGTGACAGCTGCACAGGAGCAGAGGACACACCCGTCACAGCACAGACCTGGGCCAGCCGGGCCTCGCTTCCACAGATCACCAAGTCTCACCGTGCCCCAGTGTGACGTGGCCGTGCCCACACCAGAGCTGCTAGGAGACAAAGTCAGCCACCGCAGAACACAGCGCAGGTCAATCGCGCTATCCCAAATGCTTGGGACCAGAAGTGTTCTAGGTTTGGGATTTTGGGGGGGATTTGGGATACGTGCAACTACATACTGCGACACACTAGGGCTGGGACCCGAGTCTAAACACCAATCATTCATGTTGCCTAGACGCCCTGTCACATGGCTTTAAGGTAATTTCTGAAGTGTTTTTTTTGTTTGTTTGTTTGTTTGTTTTAAGAACGCCTGCATGTGAACCTTGACCCCTCCAGCGAGGTCAGGTGTAGGATTTTCCACTTGTGGCGTCGCAAGGGCACTCAGTAAGTTTCAGGTTTTGCAGGGATTTTGGATTTCAGATGTCCAGACCAGGCAGGCTCAGCCTGTACTCCAGAGAACACGCGGGAACCTCAGGGCGCCTGGTGCACGAGCAGGGCACACACACGCTGCTGTGGCCGTCGCGTGCTTGTCCATGCTGGGGGAGAGGACGCTGCGGGGCAGGCCTCTACCCGAAGCCCCGCCTCTGCCGTCCCCACCTGTCCCTGCTACCTGAAGGTGATGGCGTAGGAGTCGCTTCCTTCCCGCCTGCGGATCAGGAACGCGCCGTCCCGCGGGATCCGCATGAGCATGTCCTCGGCTTCCCCGCGGCTCAGCGCATCGTAGAACCACCTGCAGCCCAGGGAGGCCAGAGAGACACCAGGTGAGGGCCCGCCCTGGGGAACGCAGGCCACCACCCACGGGGCATGGAAGCTCGGGACCCAGGGGCTTGCAAACTGCCCGGTGGGCTTCCCCAGACAAAAGCAGCGTGGAAAACAGCAAGGTTTGAAAAGACCACTGTGGGGAGCAAACCGGACTAGACTGAGTTACTGGAATTAAGACTTATTCTATGCATCTGCTCTCCCACTGTGGGGAGCAAACCGGACTAGACTGAGTTACTGGAATTAAGACTTATTCTATGCATCTGCTCTCCCACAATATGGCGCTGGGAGAGAAGTAAACAGCTTCCGCACAGCTGCCTCTCACCAACTTGACAAGCTGCAGGACTTGCTACTGATTGGAGGAGAGCAGCGTACTCGGCGTGTGGGCAGCCGAGTTGGGATTGGCGGAGGAGGACTATAAAGGAGGAGAGAGACGGCATTCACCGGGAACATCTAAGGGGAACATCTAGCTGAAGGAACACCTGTGCAGCCCCCCGAGAAAGCCGGCCGGCGGTGTGCCGCTCCCCTGCGGAAGTGGGGAATGCGGCCAGGGGGAACTGCCCTTCCACGGAGGTGGAAGGGATAGTAGCCAACCCGGGAAGAACCAGCAGCAAATCCGGGGAGGGCCGAGCAGACGAAAGAACAGCGCAGGGTCCTGTGTCGTTCCTCCACGAAAACGGGGAGCGACAGACCACTAAGAGACCAAGTGCACCTGCGTGGGCATGAGAGGAAAAGCCACCTCATCACCACGCGGCCTGCCCAAGCCCAGGTTGTTGCAGCGACTCAGCAAATCCGAGGCAGGGAACGTGAGTGACGGTGCAGGAGGAGGTTTTTAAATTTTTCTTGGTTATTTCTTAAGAGGTGAAAGGCTGTAGGAACAACCCAGATGGAAAGGGACAGGAAAAGTTCCCCGCCTTCCACAAAAATGTGCCTTTTGGCTCAAAAGTGGATTTTTCTTGTTTACTTCCAGAACGTGTTGACCCTCTGCCAGACATGATCTGGTACTTCCCTGAACAGAGAACTGGAGGGCACACACTTGCAGCTCTTGTCCTTGTTCATGGTTAGAACAACAGGAAGGGGCTTCCACAAGCAGACGCCGTGGGCCAAAATGAACTTCGAAAACCAAAGGCCAGGACCTCAGGATGCGGAAGGTCAAGCAGAAGCAAAGTGAGGAGGGGGCATGGGCGCGAGGAAAGGAACACGGGCCACCGGCAGCAGGCAGGAGGAATCTGCCTCCCCTGGGAACTGGGATACCCAGGGCCACCGGCAGCAGGCAGCAGGAATCTGCCTCCCCTGGGAACTGGGATACCCAGGGCCACAGGGGCCCTCCAGGGCGGCCCCTCTGACCAGTACACCTGACCCCAGGCTGTGTGCCTCCCACCGACCCCACCACGTACGGCTTCGACTCGTGAGGGTTGGGGTTGGGCACGGGGTCGGTGAGCTGCAGCTCGAACTCGGTGCAGCGCAGGTGCGCCTCGCGGTAGTGCTGGATGAGGGCGTAGATGCTGGTGAACTTGAGGTTGTCAGTCAGGTAGTACTTCGTGGTGCCGCCCTCCACGGTGGAGCGGATCAAGCAGTGCTGGACACGGCCGGATCGCCTGCAGGGAGGGGACGCTGTTGGGGCCGGCTGGGCCAGGCCCGGGCGCGGGGTCGGGGGTGGGGGGGTGGCAGAGCACTCCCAGCCAGACCCCGGGGATGACTCCTGCTGTGGCCGCACGGCCTTCCCTCTGCCCCCACAGCAGACCCAGGGCGATACCGCAGTCTGGTCCTTTTGCCTGGAATACAGAACCTCCCGGAAGGATTTTTCCTGTCCACTGCCTCCTCTTTGTCTACTTAACTCCTACTCTGGATGCCCAGCTGCAAATCCCAGCTGGGCCACCTCCGAGCTAAGTGTCCTTGAGCAAGTGACCCGTCCTGTATGAGCCTCAGTTTTTTCATCCTAGAGGTCAAAGGGAAGGTCAGAGCATCTCTGGAGGTGACCGCGACCACACACGAGATGAACCTGGAGCGCCACTGCCCAGCACGCGGCCGCCCCCAGAGCCGACAGCTCCCTCACTGCTGCACTGCTATTAAGACTTGCACCCCGGCCGGCGCCGCGGCTCACTAGGCTAATCCTCCGCCTGCAGCGCCGGCATCCCATATGGGCAGCGGGTTCTAGTCCCGGTTGCTCCTCTTCCAGTCCAGCTCTCTGCTGTGGCCTGGGAGGGCAGTGGAAGATGGCCCAAGTGCTTGGGCTCCTGCACCCACTTGGGAGACCAGGAGGAAGCACCTGGCTCCTGGCTTTGGATCGGCACAGCACCGGCTGTAGCGGCCATTTGGGGAGTGAACCAACGGAAGGAAGACCTTTCTCTCTCTCTTTCTCTCTCACTGTCTATAACTCTGTCAAATTAAAAAAAAAAAAAAGACTTTCACCCCCAGCTCTCCTCTTCTCTGAATCTTCCCCTCTGTGCCCCCAAGGCTGCGCCGGGTCCTCCCTCGCAGACTTTCTCACCCCCCGCCCACACTGCACGAGTTCCCTCTGAACTCGCTCTGTTACGGCCTTCCGGAATCTCCGCTGTTTCCATCACACCCATCACAAAGTCAAGTGCGCAGTCAGCCCTCGGACTCAGTGGGGATTGGTTCCACAAGCCCCCATAGAAGGCAAAATCCGTGCATGCTCCAGTCCCTTCAGTGACGTGGAGCAGTGTCTGCACAGAACCCACACCCAGCCCCTTAAAGCGTCCCTAGACCACTGAGCAGCCTTCAACGCAATGCAAGTGCTAACTGAACAGCTGCCATGCCCTGCTGCTCACAGAACAGCGACAGGAAAACACAAGTCCAGACTCGTGCAACACAGACTCAGTCCTGTCCAGGCATTCTCCATCTGGGGCTGGCTCAGCCTGCAGACGCAGAACCTGCAGGCACAGAGGCCGGCTGTGTCATTGCTAGGACTGCTTTTCCAGGGACTATGTTCACCGCTAAATTACTCTGCCTAGGCAGACAGCAAGCGCTCAATAAATTCAGTGAATAGAGCTGTCCAGGGCCAGGATTAGGGGCGGCAGGTGGGCCCGCACCGTCCAGGTGCAGGGTCTGATCTCGTCTTCATTTCAAATATTCGTATTCTGACTCCTGCATTGGAATGTCACTCATCCTGACGAGTGAGGCTCAGTGCTGCACACTCTGGTCCTGGGCCAGCACAGCCCCCTCAGCGAGGCCTGGGGTCCAGGCTCCAGCCCCAGCATGAGGCCTGCTCCCACCCAGCCAGCTCCGACGGGGAGAGAGGGCATTACCAAAAGGACAGGGTGTACTTGTCCGGGTAGGTCTCGCTCTCGCGCACCAGGAATGTGCCATCCTTGCCCCCTGTCTCGGCGCAGTAGTCTTGCAGAAGTTTCTCGGCGCTCATCCGCTTCTCGACCTTCTTGTGAAACCATTTCTCCCCAAAATGCAGCTCCGTGGGGGGCGTATCCTGGGCCACAGAGAGAAGAGTGGTCTCCGACAGCTGCCACTGCCCTCGCCTGCCTGCGACCCGCCCCTGTGGTCCTGAGACACAGGGTCCCCCCGCCACACACACACACACACACACACACACAGCCCTCAATTCTGTTCTCCAGGAGGTCTGAGAGCCCTCCCACGCTGGGGGTCCACTCAAGGCAGCTGGAGGGGAGAGGGCGGGCAGTGAGCATCCCCAGGGAGCACAGACCACGATCCAAGGCCAATCAGGCCTTTCAGGGAGCAGGAAAGAGCCTCGAACCTTATTGGTCAAACAAACAGTCCAACCAGCCAATCAGAGAAGAGCCAGCTGGAACCTGGGTCCCCAAGAGGCAGCAGTTAAGGGCTGAGAAGCACAGGTGCGGCTGGGTCCCCGCCTACCTGGGGCGGCTCTTCCTCCACCGCCTGCTCTATGTCGTCACTGAAAGACAGCTTGGCATCGGCGATGGCACAGTAATGTCGCGTCCACTTCTAGGAGGAGAAGCCAACGTCAGTGTCTCCCAGGGTCTCAGCCCCGGGGATCTGGGGCCCCGGGCTGGCAGCACCTCAACATTCGCGGGCAATGTCTCCTTGCAATGACAGACATTCACCCTGATTGCACAGAACCTGCACCTTCTGAGGACGATCCCTTTATAAAACTTCTATCCCAGGCCTCTCGTTTTCAGAACTTCTAAAGTGGTGTGGTCTCAGGACCTAGTGCCGAATTTTGAGAGTGTATTTATGCAGCCTGCAGCCTCTCAGGAAAGGGGTGGCACAGTCTGCTGGGTCCTCATGACTTTCTTTTCCTGTTCCACCTGATTTCTAAGATTTCTGGGATTTTTTTTTTTCCAGCCAGTTTGTCTTGAAGACTTTTCCTGCAACATTTCATGGTGATTTTTTATTTTAACCATTTTTTTTTTCACTTCTCTCCAGGATATGTAAAACTACACTCAAATGGATTTGCCATGTTTGGTTCAGGGATATGAGAAGTGACACGAGAGCTTGAGATGCCTACAGTCACTGCATAGCAAGGCTTCCGGGGGAGCAGTGCCACATCCAAGGATACCCGGAGTTAAGGCAGCCACATGCATGCAGCATCCTGCACAGAACCAAGCGCTGAACCTGAAGGTCGATCAGTGAGCGCACAGGACCGTGAGGGCACCACTGGTGTTCCGAGGCCCAGGCTGACACCACGGTTAGCTAAGGAGCTGCCACAGGGCAATCGGGCGAAGGCTCTGTGCAATCTCCGGTACTACCGTGCAGCTGCAAACGCGTGTTATGTTGATTATGAAATTATTTCTAAATAAAACCTCAGCCTGCAGAACAGTTTTAGGAGAGAAATTCGCTCAGCAAATTTTCATTTCACTCCACATGGGAGCGACGCTGGGATACACTCAGAGCTCCCCAACCCCGTTCTAAGAAGGGCCGGGAGGTCTGCGGGCCCCGCGGCGTGAGGAGGGCCCAGGCGCACCTGGTCGATGGAGTCCCACATGTACAGTTCACCCTGCTGCTTGTGTTCGTCTTTCTTGTCCTCCATGTTGACGTCCACGTCACCTCGAGGACCCAGCTTCTTGTGCTGAGGGGGGAAACACAGAGACTGTCTCTCGAGATGCAAGGTCAGGGTCTGCAGGCCAGCACGCCTTCATGGAAGGCAGCTGGTCGGCAAGTGGGCTGCTGGGTTTCCCCGCCCCAGGGCCTTTGCACTGGCTCTGCTCCCTGCCTGGTTCTCTCTCAGTACGCTCAGCTCTGTGTCCACGTTTGTCTCCTGTGAGGTTCATCAGAAGGTGTCAGCTCAGCTGGATTAAGGGACACCTAGAGCCCTGGGAAGGCACTGCTGTTGGCTGTCTGCGAGGTTGTTTCCTGACGTGATTAGGGTGCCAGGACAGGGTAGGAAGACCCACCTTGCTGTGGCCGGTACCACCCACTGGCTGGGGGTCGAGAGAATCTAACTCAGAAGACGAGCTGGCTGCTTGCCCGGAGAGCCGGGACACACTCGACTCCTGCCTGGCCCTCCGCGGCTGGCTCAGGCCTTCAGCTGCTAACGGAGGGTCACACCCTCGACCTCGCTGGTTCTGAGGCCCAGACTTGGACCGAGCCACAGTACTGGCATCCCAGGGTCTCCAGCCTAGACATGACCTGTCACAGGACTTCTCGGTTGCCAATCCCCCTGACAAACCCTCCCCACACGCCCTCCTGCCTCCTTGGAGCTCTCCTTCCCACCTAGTCTAACAGTAACCCACCCTCCCTCCGTGCCTCCACCCCCTCTTTATTCTGCTCAGAGATGCAGCCCTCCTTGAATGCACTGGTTTGTCTCTGTCTTCCTTGCTAGGGTCCACGTGCCCAGAAGAAGGGGATTCTGTTTTGCACCTTGCTGTGTCTCCTGTGCCGGCATCACTTAGCGGAAAGCAAGTGCTCCACAGATATGCCGTGAATGGGGGATACCTCTGTGCACCCAGCACTCTGCAGGGGAGGGAAGGCAGGCTGCGGGCAGAACCAGCACGCGGAGGCCAGGCGGGGTGGCGGAGGGCACACTGGGGATTTGGGTCCAAGCAGCACTGCTGCCATCTCACGGGCCGTGTGACCCCAGGCAGGTGGTCGCACCTCTCTGAGCTTCATGGCAAGACCAGGAACACAGTGCTCACCTGGGTGAGGCCTGAAGGCTGCTTCAACAAGTGTTTGCACACTGAGGGCCGCGGCGACTCGGAGAGCGAGCTCAGGGCTGCCAGTTAGACCCAGACTTGAAGTCGGGGCCAGTGGCCACAGTAGGTGTGTGACTTTGGCCTAGCAGCAATGTAGCATCAGCAATCTCGCTGGTGAGGGGGATGTGACAGCCCCCCAGTGTCTCCTGTAAGCCCAGGGGCACCCAAAGGCCCCATCAGGGACAGCAGCATGATACAGGCCTGGGCCCAGGCTTCCAAGGCAGACCTTGGCCTTCAACAGTCTCCTTGCAGGAATTGACTGTGTGACTGCAGCTTAGCCACTTCACCTCCAAACCTCGGTGCCCACATTGGCAGAGTGGGCGAGGGGCGGGAACATCTGTCTGCCAGGGCCAACAGAAGGCCAAACAGGAGAAGAGTTACAGCCGTACCCAGCCAGGCCAAGTCACTCAGCGACCATGTCGCAAGCACTGCTTCTGCCTCCCTTCCTAAGGCAGAAAGGGGGGGACCACAGAATACGGGGTGGGGGCAGGTGCCTCCCATCTTAGAAAAAGAGCTGGGCACAGGCGCACATGCATCTGGGCTGCCCTGAAGAGCCACCAGGCAGAGGACGGAGAAGACACAGACCCTCCAGGGTGTAGCTCCCCACCCGCTCACCCATCGCCCTGTCTTCACCTCGCTGGGAGTTTGGTGGTGTCCCAGCGACAGCGCCCTGGCACTCCCAGAGCACCAGGTGACACTCTGGCCCAGGGGAGATCAGGATCCCTTCCTCCAGCTCGGTGTGCACAAAGCCCCTCACACTGTGGAGCAGTCTGTCTCCCCATGAGACCATGACCTTCTGGAACACGGGACTGGTGCCCTACAAACCCTGGTGGCTCCGTCATAGGCCCCAGCACACAGGAACCACAGACCCCTCTCGGAATGTAAATTCCGAGGGAATCCAATTACACTGAAATACAATTATGGAGCTATTAAATAGAGACCTTCGCAACGTGTGAGCCTGCACTTGCTTATTCACATCTTAAGTAAGATCTAGGGGCAGATCCAGCAGCCTCCATAATCCTAACGTGGCCACGAGCACACAGTTACGTGGAGACATAACTGCCTCATTATGTGACCACTGCAAACATTCGCGGTGTCTGCGGGTGACAAAGCCACCTGCAGAGATGCTGGGCTCAGGGGTAACTGAGAAAGATGCAGCGTGTCCCCCAGGCAGGTTCACACCGCACCCCAAATTCTAACCACAGTTCCCGGGAGCCGAGGGAACCCCAGATGAAAACCCCTGCCCCAGGAAACGACAGAGCAGGGCATGAGGACCCTGCATCACCTTGCAGAACAGAGCTCCAAGCTCGTTAAGCCAATGCCTATCTGGTCTCCTTATCCTAAGAATACAAACACCCAGATGTTAACTTGGTATCCCCAAGCACAGACAGAATTCAGCATCTCCCGCCACACCCCAGCACACCCAGCCCGGCACCCCCATCATAGCCTACAGCCTGCTCCAGCTGCTGTCCTCCTCCCACGCCAGCCGGGAGCTCCCAAGGGCACTAACGGCACCTAGGTCACCCCAACACATCCGGCACCTGCATGGGCCCACTCAGAGAGGAGCACGGTGCGGGTTCACCAGAGAATGTACAAATAAGGAGCTGGCACGGAATGCATCCATCACGTGATGGGCATGGGCCCAGGCTCTGCACGTGCACCCCTCACCAGGTGCACCCGGCAAGCTCATGGGCAGTGCTGTGCTATTATCCTGAGACCAGTGAGGACACAGAGGCCGTGAGAGGTCTTGGCAGTGGTCAGGAGAGTGGATTTGAGCCAGGGCACTGGGGTCCAGGTGTAGGGCCAGGGCAGCTGGGTGCCCTGAACGTGGGTCCCCAGTGCCCACAGCAGCCTACCTTAATAATGATCTTTTCCCGCAGCTGGCTGGGTGATGGCAGCTGGTCAGCACTGGCCTCCGTGGGCTTGGTGAGCAGCAGGTCGCCTAGCACCTCCTTGAACACCCTGGCCATGTGGCGCTGCTGCTCCACACTGCAGTGCTCCTCAATGGACAAGATCACCGGGAAGCTGCGGGCGGCAGAGAGCAGTCAGCTGGGGACGGGGCAGCAGGGGTGCGGTCAGCTCGGGGACGGGGCAGCAGGGGTGCAGTCAGCTCGGACACGGGGCAGCAGGGGAGCAATGAGCTCAGGGATGGGGCAGCAGGTGCCCTCAGGGGACGGGGCAGCAGGGGAGCGGTCAGCTCGGGGACAGGGCAGCAGGGGAGCGGTCAGCTCGGGGATGGGGCAGCAGGTGCCCTCAGGGGACGGCTGCACAAAGAAGCCAGAGCCCTTGCCAACGGAGATGCCTTCGTCCACTGTGAGGACCCACAAGCCCCAGGACCCTGCGTGGCTCTGAGCTCTGCTGGGCTCTTCCGGACCCCAGAGTGCTCGTCTGTCGCCTTCCTCCCCTCCGCCCCGCAGGTACCAGCCCCACAGTGATTTTTCTCGGTAATTTCTCTCAACTCCCTCCTGTCTCTGAACTCAGGGGAGAAAGTGCTAAGTTAGTTTTCAGAGCAAACCCTCAGAAAAGGTGGAAAGAGAGCATCACACCGTGCACCAACACCAAGTCACCAACACTAACATAGACTGGGAGGGACCGCTAACCAACGTGAATGTATCGTTTGTTACAGATGTTGAACGTACTGGTTTCATGCATTAACATGCTATGCATACACACTGACAGGTCATTTACATATGTATGTCATATACATGTACATATGCATGTATATTTACAGATGAGACTTGGTGGGTGCATTCATAGCTGGGCACCAACAGTCAGTTCTCATCAGGGGCCGTAAACTCTCAAAGTTGCCACCAACACTGATTAGCAATTCCAGAGCCACTGCTCCCAAGGAGAAATGAAGGGTTAGGGTCTGCGGAGCCTCTGGTCGCAAGATTTTCAACAATTCATTAATACAAGACTTTGTTATTATTGAGGTTTGTTGTATCCGTGGGAAAACTCAATGAGAGTGAGTTAGAGGCTCAGGTTTTTGATATGCTACCTTATATCCCAAAATGCTTAAGCAGGTAGGGCCGGAGCTGCCTAAACTCAGGAGCCCAGAACTCCATCCATGTAAGCTAGTGCGGTGACAGAGACTCAAGCACTTGACCCATCACCTGCTGTGCCCCCTGGTGTGCGTGAGCAGGCAGCTGGAGTTGCAAACAGAGCTGGGACTCAAACCCAGGCACTCGGGATGCAGGCATCCCGGGCAGCGTCCTAACTCTGCACCAGACGCCCCCCCCCCCCACCCGACCCTGGTTTATGCATATTTCAGCTTCCCAGACACACTGGTGATGCTCACTGAGGATGCACGCACAGGAACGCACACCAGGAAAGCCTGCTCACACGTCTGTTTCCTCCTGGGGCCACATCCCAGCACCCTCTGTGAGGCCATCACAGTCACCGGGGAAAAGCACAAAATATGAAACTCCTGGCACTCAACAGGTGGCCAAGGGGACTCTCATTAACATACCAGGAGCTGCAACCAGGAGCTGCAACCAGCGGCAGCACTGCGGGGTCTGACCTCAGTGCACCGGCGAGTCGAGTGACTCACGCCTCCCAGCACTCCCCAAGCCTGCCAGCCGCCTCAGACCCACTCGGGGCCCCACAGCAGCAGGCAAATTCACAAACACAGAGGCCACAACATTCACAGGTGTGCTACATGTCATCCGAACATGTGTCTCTAGTTCTCTGAATATCTGTACATCATTTGAACACGTGTGTCTATACATTGCCACATCTGTATGTCATTTGAATGTGTGTATATATTTCTAAATATTTATGTCACTTGAGCATGCATGTATATCTAAGTATATTTATGTGTCATTTGAACATGTATGAATACATTGCTATGTACATTTGCAAGTTATTTGAACATCTGTGAGTATATTTATATGTCATTTGAACTTGTGCAAATATATTGCTATGTATATTTGCACGTCATGTGGACATATATTTCTGTTTATGTCACTTAATCACATGTCTATATTTCTATGTATATCTGTACATCATTTGAATGTGTGTATACATTTCCATATCTGTATGTCATCTGAGTGTGTGTATATATTTCTAAGTATTTACATGTCACTTGAACATGCGTGTATATCTAAGTATTTTTGTGTTATTTGAACACGTATGAATATATTCTTATGTATTTTGATTGTCACTTGAACATCTGAGTATATTTATATGTCATTTGAACATGTGTGAGTATATTTCTATGTCATTTAAACATGTATATACATTTCTATGTATTTTGTATGTCATTTGATCATGTGAATATATTTCTGTGTATTTGCATATCATTTGAACATGAATATATTTCTATGTATGTTTGCATGTCATTTGAACATGCGTGACTATATTTCTGTCATTTGAACATGTGTATATACATTTCTCTGTATATTTATGTCATATGAATGTGTATACATTTCCAGTGTATTTGTATGTCATTTGTACACGTGTGAATATATTTACCACTCGCATGTGTGTATAAGGGTACTTCAAAATGTTCATAGAAAATGGAATTAAAATATATACATTTATTTTGGTGAAAAAAAACTGAAATCCAGACATATAAAACATTTCCAAAGTGCTCGTGAAAAATGCATTTTATGGAAATACTACGCATGGATTCAAGACCTTGTCCTGTGAACGAAGATCAACTCAACAACCAGAGCCACAAGCACCTGTGTCCCCAGACATCCCAGCCTCCAAAGCAGCAGAGCGGGAGCGCGCTGGGCAGGGGTCCCAGGCGCCTCCCAGACACTAAGCAGGGCTCTGGCTGCAGAGGGCGGACGCCGACATGGGGAAATGGGAGGAACTGAACGAGGAGAAAGCCATGACTTCCTGCTCCCAGCCCAACACCTCCCCCCATGCTAGTCACTCAACACCCATGAGCACAGCGCTAAGCACTTGTCCATCACGGCGCTTTCTCTCTGCACAGCCCTGGGAGGCACACATGACCCTCACCGCCACTTCTTAAGATACCGGAACCAAAGCACAGAATGCAGAGTCCCTGGCCCAGACGGGTCACTGACAGAGTTCAAAGGGCACAGTGCAGCAGTCTCACACCTCTGAGGCTACCACAGGCCTCTCGCCAGCTGTCCACAGCCACAAGGAGCCCAGACCAGGAGCCGACAAACCGAGGCCCACATACCAAATCCAGGCTGCCTTGGACTTTCCTGTGTCTCACCTGCACGCACCATGCCCACTGCTCACGTCGTGCCGTGGCTGTCTCTGAGCCGCAGCAAACGGGCTAAGGGGGGGCTGCAATAGAGACCACAGGGCCCAGGCACTGCTGTCCGGTCCTTCACGGGGACCCCGGATCCCCGGTCAAGGCCTAGATCACGGGCTGCCCGAACAGAGAGGATCAGACCTGGTTCAGAAGTCACACAAACCAAGCAAAATGTCGGCACTGACTTGCTTGACCCCAGTGTTGTGTCCCTACACAACCATGCCTGCTTGAGATCACATGGACAAAGAGCCTGGTGCAGAGGCCAGCCCCGGGGAAAGACACCACCACCCAGCACTACCATCACAATCACCAACAACCATGGCCAGCATCATCACTAATACCATCAACACCAACAACCCAGCACTACCGCCACCAGCACTAGCACCAACCACCACCATCATCACCACCAACAACCCATATACTACCACCATTATTATCACCACCAACCACCACCATCACTACCACCACCAACCACACCAATATCACCAATACCATCGCCAACAACCCATATACTACCTTACCAGCACCAACAACTCATACTATCACCATCACCAACAACCACCACCATCACAACCACCAAAAACCACCACCAATATCACCAGTACCATCACCAACAACCCATATAATACCATCAGCATCACCAACAACCTCCGTCACCATCATCACCAATACCATTACCACCAACCACCACCACCACCAATGCCATCACCACTAACCAATACTACTACCACCACCACCATCACCACCACCAACCCACACTACCATCATCACCATCACTATCCATACCATCACTGCTACCACCACCAGATTCTTTGGATCCCACAGGCCTCTGGGGACCTGGGAAGCAAGGAGGATTTTAGCAGGAAGGGAACCTTGGCTGTCTTTCTCTTTGGACAGGCTCAGAAACAGAGAGCAGGCTGAGAACCAGAGGGTGCAGGGCGCTGTGGGAGCCTTCTGCATTCTTGACCTGTAGGGGGCACCAACAGTCAGCTGGGGCTCATGGGTGACTGGCTAGGATGGAGCTCAGGCCTCTTCTGTCTGGGGAAGGCAGGCAGCATCTGTATCTGTCTGTCAATCCACTCCTAGCTGCCTTTCTTTAAAGGCCACCAACTCACCTTGAGGTGACAAAGGCGTGGTCTTTGATGGCCTGCACGACGTCGTCGAACTTGATCTTGGTGGTCCGTGTCCAGCCGTGGTAGATGATGGGCTTCCCGTCGGGCCCGTCCCAGCAGTCCACTGGGGAGAAGGGCAGTGGCCTCAGCCCCACACACGCCCACTGAGAGCAGCTGGAGGCCACCCAGGTGAGGACGGGTTCACCTGCATCCATGTGGCTACCTGGGACCTACGTCATGTGGTTCCTAGCTTCACTGCCTCAGTTTAAAGCAGGTGTCTGAAAGGGGTTTATCTTCTGCTGTCACCTGCCTCACTGTGGCTTGCCTCTCTGCTGGTGCACACGACAAACAGCAAGAGAAACGCATTTGCAAGCATCACTCGAATATTCACACAGGACGAGATCTGGGCTCTGGGTCTCCATCCCCCAGAGGGCAGCAGCAGCTGACGGAGTCACACTTGACTCTGTCGCATTTGCTTTTTCCTGGTGGGGAATTAAAAATATTAACCCAGAGGTCTGTGAGATAACCGTTCCCTGTGACACCAGAGCCTGAGTCCGTGGTGTGTGCCGGCGCCCAGCCAAGGATACCTGCAAGTCCCCAGGGGTAGAGTGAGCCAGGCCAACTGGGAAGAGATGGGAGGACCAGAGGGGAGGAAGGAGGCGAGGTCGGCCATCTGTCTCAGAGCCACCCTCACCGTGCAGGTCATGTGGGGCTCCGGGTACTCTAGGAACCACCTGTCCACCCTCAAGGGCACCGAGGCGCTCTCTGAAACCAACCCCGACAGAAGCAGGGTGAGCACCAAAGACAAGAGCACCGTCCTTGGCACTGCCACCCCTACCCCAGGCTCCTGTGACACTGGGACATTTTTCAGGACACCCCAAACCATGGACCCGTCAGGCTCCAGACACCGCTCCTTGTCTCAGCGACTGTGAGAGGTCCCAGGTCTCATGCCATCGACGACTCGACAGGCACCTGCACCTGCCTCAGCCAGTCCCACCCACCTCCAGCAGGAAGAAGCCCCACAGCCTCCTGGCCCCACCCCCGCCTCCTCCACTCACGCTCGATGCAGCGGCAGCCCAGGCGCAGGCAGCGGATGTACGCCTCCGTGGAGGACTCGCTCCGCAGCTGGTCCCCAGTGAGGTACCTGAGGGGAAGAGGCAGGTGGCCATGGTGGGCAGGCAGCCCCGCCCCTAGGCCCGAGCCGCCAAGGTCCTGAAAGATCTTCACAGCTCGAAAGATCCAAGGACGGCCATCACGTGGCCACAGACCTTCAACTCGGGCCACTGGTGCAAGTCGTGCGCAGTAACCACCGGGGCAACACAGACGCACGTGTGCCCCCAGCAGAACCCGGGGCACCAGTGACACGGGGGCAGGTGAAAAGTGAACGCCACCCCCCCCGCAGCTGCCCAGCAGGGCAGAGGTCGGGCACAAAATCGCTGTGCCCCGCCCTCCCCCCCATACCCTACAAGCTGGCCTTCATAGGTTATTTCTGCCTCGAGACCTTGGTATGTGGTGCTCTGTTTCCCAAACCGCTCCTCTCTGCCCTATTGCTGGTTCTCTCATCAACTCACAGTCATGGCCACGTCCAAGGTGGCCTTGCCCCTCCAAGCACAGGGAGATGAGGCTGCTCTCCCCTCATGCCCTGTTTCCCTAGCAGGTGGCAGGCACATAGTAGGTAGCCTGTGAATATCAGCCCAACGACTAGGGGAATTTCTTTTCTGTGACTAGTAGGAGAGGCCTCAACTGTGCAAAGCAGCTCTGCCGACTTGCTTGGCAGAGCCGCTGAGAAAGGATTATCATTGCCAGGCCTGCTGGGAAATGGAGCTGCATTCCCCATCCCCGGCCCCTTCCAGAAGATTCTGTATATTCCAGACTGGGACACATGGTGGCCGTCATGCAACACGCTTTGCCAGAACGGAGAGCCCACGGCGACACTCACGTGTTGTGGGAGGAGGAGATCCAGTAATGAGACAAGGGGTTGTTCATGTCCTGCATGTCCACCACGTCGTACTTCTCGTCCCAGATGCTGTTTTCTCGCGAGAACAGGTACGTGAGGAACTGAAAGAGTCAAACACGGCAGGGATGGGTCTGGCGGCGGCTGACCTGCGGCCGGCGAGTAAAGGGCTTTGGCCGGGAAAGCCCACTGACCTTGGCCAGACCCCAGGACCCACGCCTCCATGCCAATGGCTAAGTCGGCCATGGGCCCTGCCCACACCCGTGCTCTCATAGATCCAAGCGGTGTTTTCCTCATTAATGTACCCCCCCTCCAGACACCTGCTACCTGCAAGCCCAGCACATTGCAGTAACAGGGACAGTTAGAGCCCCACCCTCAGTCCAAGGTCACTTTCACCAATATCAGAACTCCCAGCCCCCTCATATATATATATATATATATATGTGTGTGTGTGTGTGTGTGTGTGTGTGTGTATATATATATCAATATATCAATATATAGGGCCAGCATTGTGGCTTAACAGGTAAAGCCACCACCTGCAGTGCTGGCATCCCATACAGTGCTAGTTCAAGTCCTGGCTGCTCCACTTCTGATCCAGCTCCCTGCTAATATCCTGAGAAAGCAGTGGAAGATGGCCCAAGTGCTTGGGCCCCTACACTCACATGGGAGACCCAGAAGGAGCTCTGGGCTCCTGGCTTTGACCTGACTCAGTCTTGGCCATTCTGGCCATTTGGGGAACGAACCAGTAGATGGTAGATTGGTGTATCTCTCTGTCTCTCCTCTCTCTTTCAAATAAACAAACACAACTTTTTTGGGAAAAAAAATGTATTTATTTGAAGGAGGGAGGGGGGAGGAGAGAGAAAGAAACAGAGAGAGCAAGCGAATTTCCATCCACTGGTTCACTTTCCAAATGGCTGCAACTTAGTCAGAGCTGGACCAGGCCAAAGCCAGAAGCCCAGAGCTCCTTTGGGCTCTCCCATGTGGGTGGCAGGGCCCAAGCACTTATGCTCCTAGCCCCTTTAAAAAGGAAGGGGGCAGATATTTGGTCTAGAGATTAAGACACGTGTGTCCCAGAACACAGTAGCAGGATTTGACACCAGCTCTGGCTCCCGACTCCAACTTCCTGTTAATGCTGACCCTGGGAAGCTGTGGAGATGGCTCAGTACCTGAGTTCCAGCCACCCTCGTAGGAGACCTGGAATGGCTTTCTGGCTCCCAGCTGCAGCCCCCAGCCATTGTGTGGGTCTAGGGGGATGACAGCACACACGCTCGCTCTCTCCCTCATTCTCTCAAGTAGCTAAGTATTTCTAAAATAAATAAATGAGAAGCTAGAGTTCCCTGGGGCTCCCCCATCAGTGCCACCTCCCCAGCTCTCTGTGCAAGGTCAAACACAAGGGAGTCCACCCTGGCAGGCACCCATCAATCTTCCAATTTTGTGTCTATGCTCTTCTCCTGCTGGCCGTCGCCCTCTAGTGGCGAAAGCAATAAATCCACCTAGACCACTTGGTTGCTAGAGGAGTCTGCCAGGGGGGCATCTGACAGCAAGAACCCCCCACCCCCACCACGGCAGGGAAGAGGATCAGACCGGAGACCTGGGAAGACAGGCAGGAATCACAGGACCCAGGGTGACAGCAAGCCCGGGGCCGCTCACCTCATCCACGAACAAGAAGGGCTCGGCCGTCTCCCTCATGGTGTCGTCGATAAACTTCGTCATCCGCTCACGCACTTTGTTCAGATCCTGGGCCCAGAGCTCCTTCAAGTGAAGGGAACAGGAAGTCACCGGAAAGGGACAAAGCCTTCCCTCTCGGGCCCCTCCGGTCGCAGGCGGGAGCCCCGTGCCGAGGCCTCGCTCTGCCTGGGGCCAGGGAGCAAACGCTTCGGGCTCTGAGGGCCATCGGGGTCTGTGGCGACCTCTCAGCTTTGGTGCAGCAGCACGAGAGTCCGAGGTCTCACGTGAGCAAACGGCCAGGCGTGGCTGGGTCCCAATAAAACTTTATTTACAAAACAAGTAGGGGCCGCATCTGGCCTGCAGGCCACCGTCGGCCAGCTGCTGCCTCTGCTCGCTTTCCACGCTGGTTAGCGTGAAGCAGCTGGGTCTCTCGTTCAACCTGAGCGACCTCGGGCAGGTGGCAGCCCCTCCCATGCCTCCTCATGGTAACAGTCTCCCGTGCACAGAGACCCCAGGGGTGTTTTATGTCCTGGCTGACACGGTGCCCAGGGCACAGCAAACTCAGCCTGCAGCAGCGTGTGCAAACAGTCACCCTCTTGCGGCCACCTCAGTCCTCACAGTGACCCGCCACGTCATTCGTGTCACTGTCACTTTGGTGACAGGGACCCAGAGGTTCCGGAACACCACAGAAGGATGGGATGTTCACGCGTCCCGTAAGCCAGAGTCGGGGTTCCATATAAACCAAGAGTCAAATCGCATGGTGTCTTTCTAGGGGCCACACAGATGCTGCCCAGACACAGGGACACCTGTGAAATCACTGCAGAACCCAGGGCCCTTAGCCTAACAGAAAGTCACATTACTGTGTCCTCTCTGTGCCTCAAAACCCCCAACAGTCACAGACCAAAGGGTGCCACCGCACGCGTCCACTGAGCCGCTCTGTGGGAGTCTCAGGTTCTACACCTCCATCCCAGTGATGAAAAAGCCAATTTGCTAGCAGATGCGTGTGTGTGTGTGTGTGTGTGTGTGTGGCTGCAGGGGAGGAGCTGGGGGAGGGGGGATTCGCAGGAACAGGAATGAAAAGCACAAGGACACACACCAGGGGGTGAGCACACACCCCTCTCGCTCAGGGGTGCACAAGCACAGAGCCCCGCTGTTGACTTGCAAATCTGCACTGGCTCAGAAACACAGCACAGCCCAGAGGCCGGAGGCCAGTGCGTGCACCTGCAGACAGATGTGCGGGAAGCCTGTGAGCACAGCAACACAATACCCGAACCTCAGGACAGTCCACGTCGACACCTTGCCTGGCCTCGAGGCCCCAAAGCAGCTGCAAGCCGCCCCTTCCTTCCCTAACATCTGCATTCACTGAAAGGCATGCGTCCCAAGCCCACAGAACCTGGAGCTGGACTGGCTGCAGAGAAACACATCTCCTACCCAAATGACATTCACACCTTCGAAAGCTCACCTACTCGGCCTGGGGTCTTGCGTTAGGCACCTAGAATAGCGACGAAAAACGAACGGTGATGGCCGGAAACGTCCGGGCTCTGACTCCCGGCGGCCCCCTGCTGAGCTCTTGCTCCCATCCTGGCTCACCTCGAACTCGCCACGTGTGACCCAGGAGGTTCGTGCTAGGTTATGTCGTGGGGAAGGCGGCGCTCCCAGCCATTAGCTAACTTGGCAGACAGCCCGGTCTGAGACCAAGCCAGGCACACCCAGTTCCAGGAGCTGACTTTTCACTCCTTTCCTGCAGTGCCATCCCTCCCTCCCAGGGCTGTCTGCTGGAGTTTTTAACTCGTGCCCTACAGGAAAATTAAATTGGCTCCAAGCTTTCATTCCCATTAGAAATGCTGCCACTGTTTCCTGAGTGTAAGTGACCAGGAGGCAACTATGTAACTGAAGTATGTAACTCTCAGGTCTTCACTCTAACTGCATGTAGCCAACACACTCACTGCAAAACTGCTCTACTGGGCACGGCAAGTACAGTGGTGGTCATTCCATGAGCAGCTGTCACCCCAAACACACGCCATGCAGGGGCTCCAGGCTGCCCGGCCCCTAGGTTTCCACAATGCAGGGAAAGCTCCTGCACTTTCTGGTGGCCCCAAAACCCGGATCTCTAACCATGAGCCAGCAAGGAGGCCAGATTGGGGAAACTTGCGTCTCTGCAATAAACTGGATGACCACTAGGTGGAGCTACAGCAATAAACCCAGGCCAGCCTACCAGGTGGTAAACTCTAGGCTTTAAGGAATTGACAGCTCCCTTCAAAAAGGATCAAATTTGGTGCAAGGACCAGGATGGCAAAAGCAGAAAAGTGCACATGCCTCTTCCTCTCCATTCCACCAGAGGTACCTGCATGTGATTGGGCACAAGAAAATTAATTTAACCCTTTCATTACTCTCCCCTTGCTCCTGGCTTCAGGCTGGCCAGAGCCTCTTCTGATCCCCATCACTCACTGCCTGGCGGGGCAGGCAGGTGGCCCTCTCACACACCGGCCTCCTCACCACCCATCCCCGGCCATCACGGAGGTTCGGCCTTCTCAACACCAACTCAATCTGACTGCACGCTGGGCGACACTAACCATGCAAGATGTGACAGTAGCACCTTTTTTTTTTTTTTTTTTACAGGCAGAGTGGATAGTTAGAGACAGAGAGAAAGGTCTTCCTTTTGCCATTGGTTCACGCTCCAATGGCCGCCATGGCTGGCGCTCTGCGGCTGGTGCACCACGCTGATCCGAAGGCAGGAGCCAGGTGCTTCTCCTGGTCTCCCATGGGGTGCAGGGCCCAAGCACTTGGGCCATCCTCCATTGCACTCCCGGGCCACAGCAGAGAGCTGGCCTAGAAGAGGGGCAACCGGGACAGAATCCGGCGCCCCGACCGGGACTAGAACCCGGTGTGCCGGCGCCGCTAGGTGGAAGATTAGCCTATTGAGCCACGGTGCCGGCCGACAGTAGCACCTTCTAACAGGGAGTCCCTAGCTGCGAGACAGACGAGCTAAAGAACTGGAAAATGAGGGGGCACACAGCCTGGGACGTACTTTAGATGGAAGCGGGGGGAGACGCGTGGGCGTCTAGAAGGGAGGACATAACACTGGCAAAGCCCCCTTGTTTCTGATCTGGGTCATGAGCCCAGGGCAGCTCCCGAGGCCGCTCGGTCTACTTCTGTGTGCCAGGGGCCTCTGCAAGTTTGTGCAAACAGCACCTTACAAAAACCTGCAATGCATTTCAAAGATACCTGCACCCCGGAAGCTACCGTCTCCACCTCGCTCTCCCGTGAGCTTCCTGAAGCACCCTGGGGTATGCGAAATGCTCTCCGAACTTAGATTTTGTGTGAAGAGGATGATATAAAGTCCACTCTCTTAAAAATCCAAAAAATTATATAAATGAGGGGAGAAATAAACAAGACTCTAAAGACATAAAAACGTGGTGTATGTGTGTGTGCACGGGCGTGTGTGTGTGCACATGTGTGTACACGTGTGTGCACATCTGTGAGTGACCACCCAGATAAACCCAGGTTCTCATGCACACAGATCTGTGCGGTCCTCTCTGCTCCCCTCAGGTCTGACACGCAGGGGCTCTCAACCCCACTTAAAGATGAAGAAACAGGGGCACAGAGAAGCTAAGCTGCCTATTCATGGCTGCACAGCCAGAAAGAAAATCTCACTTTGACCTCCCTGCCGTGGGGACTCCCATCCCGAGGGGCTGGACACCTGTGCGCAGGGGACTGCCCTGTGCACACAGGGGGCTGGGCAGCACCACTCTCCTGCATCCCCGGGAGCCAGTCGCACAACCAGAGCATCCCTGGACACTGCCCAGAGTCCTCCGGGAGGGAAGCCACTCCCAGCATGCAGTGCCCTGGACTCTGCCCAGAGTCCTCTGGGAGGGAAGCCACTCCCAGCATGCAGTGCCCTGGACTCTGCCCAGAGTCCTCCGGGAGGGAAGCCACTCCCAGCATGCAGTGCCCTGGACTCTGCCCAGAGTCCTCCGGGAGGGAAGCCACTCCCAGCATGCAGTGCCCTGGACTCTGCCCAGAGTCCTCCGGGAGGGAAGCCACTCCCAGCATGCAGTGCCCTGGACTCTGCCACCCGCTCAGAGCCCAGGCACAAGCACAGTGCAGGCAGCATTGCTGGTTCTCTCCCAGAGGTCCTGCGGCTGCTGCCAGTCATGGAAGGCTCCCTGGGGAGTGACGCCCGAGAGCCTGCTGGAGGAGCTGCAGCCAGCCTGCGGCCCCTGTCCTCTACCCAGGCCTGCAGCCGTTTCTGAGTCCAGAGTTGAAGATGGCAAAGTGCGAGTGGTGGGTGACGCGGGCAGCGTGGGGTGAGGAGGAGGAGGCCCCGACGCAGGAAGCCGCCCAAGCCCTGCCCTCCCCAGGCCCCTGCACGTCTCTGACTCCGCCCTCTCACCTGCTGTTCGTGCAAGAGAAACCTCTGGAAGTCGTGCAGGTGAACGGCAGAGGCGTCCGGCCGGTCGGTGTTCCTGCCCTCGGGGAAAGGGAGGCCGTTCAGAGGGCGCCGTCCATCACCCCAGGGCGATGCTGGCCGCCGGTCCCTCGGGTCCCCCGGCTGTGCCAGGCACCAGGCAGGTGCAGGCCTGGAACCCGCACTGAGCCGCTCCCGGGGGCGTCCTGTGCACTCTGAGGTCTGGGAAACCCCACGTGTGTGCGGAAGAGAAGCCACGCACGGGGGACACGGGACAGGGAGACAGGCGACAGGGAACGGGGGCGGGAGGGTGGGGGGAATGCCTGGGGCAGGGCCGAGAGGGCCCAGACTCCTGGCTGGAGGCCCAGGACGGCTTGTGGAGCAAGAAGCAGTGAAACCCCAAGGACCGGGAGGGCCAGGGAGGCAGGCCAAGGGGACCCCAACTGCAAAGGGCTGTAGGGAAAGTGGGGAGGCAGGGACACGGCTGGCGCCTGCGCACAGTGCGGGAGCAGATGCTGCAGACACAGGGGCCTCCGTCCAGACCTGGCCAGGGCCCTCAGGGGCTCGGAAGCAGGGTGGGGAACACGTGAAGCCCCGGCCCCCTAGCCATGCTGGGCATGACAGCCACCAGCCTGGGACAGCAGAGGGCATCTCCCTAGATGGCAGGGAGCCCCCTCCCCCGCTCTGAATAAGGGCAGGGCCGCGGCCTGGGCCAGCGAGGAAGGGGTGCCGGCTGCACCCTACACCTGGCAGCTCCCTGGCTGGGACGGGACGGCGTGCCCCAAGGAGACGAGGGCGCTCCTGGAGCCTGTGCAGAGGCGGGGGAATGGTCTCCCTAAAGAGTGCAGGAGGGAAACACGCCTCACGCCAGCCCCTCTGCCACCCAGGGGCCCGAGCCCAGCGTCTTGCACCCCAGTCTTTCTCGAGCCTTCCCTGTCCAGTCTCACAGTCTCCCGCCAACCTTTCATGAAAACGCTCGGCGGAAATCAGGTGTGCCCCAAGAGTGCCGGGGATCCTCGGAGGCCCAGGTTTAGAGAGTGACCCCAGGAGCAGCCGCCCACGGCTGAGGGCCGGGTCTGGTGCCAGAGACCATGGCCCATGCCGTTAACTCCATGGGAAATGTTTCTCCCAGTCACATAGGCCACCTTAGAAACCCCCACTCTGCCAACCCCGAAGCCCTGTAAGGGTTCTGACAAGTCCCACGGCACCGACTTTTTAATGATAATATGATTACCAGTCATGATGTGTGCCATGCACTGCGTGACGTGTTTTGTACACTTCATCTCACGTCCATCCAGCAACACCTGCTCACCCAGGAATTTCTCAGAATTCTGGGACCATTCGGGCACAACACCTATCAGCCTGTTACGTCCCAGGAAGTCCTCTGAGCCGCCAGGCTTTCGTACGGAACCTTCTGGGCTATGCTCCCCACACCCCATACAGACCACTGCTCCACGGGCGTGCAGGTGCGGGATGGCCAGTTCCGAGGAGCACCCACCCCTGGGATCTATTGCTGCCCCACGGAGGTGGCCGCCCCCAGAGACCCAAACACAAGGTCACCGGTGCCCAGCACAGCGCCCGAGACGGCCCTCACCCCAGGATGAACACGGAGGAATCCTTCTTGAATTCGTCGAGAATCTGGAACAAAACAGAGAAGACACACACGGAAGTGAGGTACTAAAGAGAGCATCTCCAACCTCTGACTTCAAGGAAGCATCGGACAGCGTGGCAATGATGGCACTCCTCCACCAGAGGGTGCTAGAAAGCACTTTGCCCAGTTTCCCCTTGCACCAGTTCTTGCTCATTTGCACACACGCAAACACGTGCATATATGTCCACTACATGTGTGCACATGCAGCCACACACACCTTATCCATTTCTGGTTAGGTAGCATCACTTCAGCAACTTCAGTGACACCCGACTACACGAACCCCTCGAGTAATTCTGTGACACGTGACAGATGCTAATGACGTGAATGACTCCTCCCCCAGGCCCCCCAGACACTTCTTATGTTCCTGCTGTTGCCAAACTTACGGAAACTCTGAGGCTTGAGCACCGCTAGGCAGGCAGGCGGATGGACACACGGAGGAACCGGCAACCTCAAGATGGAAACCATTTGGCAACGCAAAAGCCTGAATGGATCTGTGGATTGTGAGTCACCACATGTGTCCTTATGCCCCCACGGAGCCTGAGAAACGCAGTGCAGCCTCCTGCCAGTTGGCACAGGGCCAAGACCTTTCTCTACCGTGCTGGCAGCCAGGGGGGTGGGGACTAAGCAGAACGATGAGTGACGGGCCAGCGAGGGGAAGTGGTGGTGCACGTCTCCAGGTAGCCAGAGGGTATCCTCTTTCTCACACCCAAGCCACCAGATTCGACACTGCTGTGGCCAAGCCCGGGAGCTGTGCCTCTGCACAGTGGGGCTGACGGTCACCAATGCAGAGCTGCTTGTGGCTGAGGGGGTGACATCCACAGTGGGGGGCGGGGCTGGGGAAAGACCACGGCTTCCTTCCTACTCACACGTGCCCCGCGGCAGCTGTGGCCCCACCAACAGCAGAGTTCAACGTTTTCATGAGACTCCAGATATCTGCATTTGGACATACAGCTGCCCAACTTCTAAACGCAGGCGACTGATTTCAAGCACATTTAAACCTGTAGGCCAAGTACAACCAACAGCAGGTGCAATGTGGCATTCCAGCCACCAGGGGGAAACCTTTGGCAAAGTCTCATTTTTCTCAACATTCCACACTGGGCAATGGGGCGCTGGCAGAATTTAGGAATCCTGGGAAACTCTCACTCAGATTTCTCTCTGCCATAATAAAAATTGCAGGCTGAAATACCCCTTACGTGCAGTTTTGCCACAAAGGAGACCTGAGCCGTGCAAACTTTGTCCTCCAGATGTGTCTGCCATCTGTCTGATGGAACTGAATCTTGAAATTCCAAGGCAAACTATTACTAAGCACTATTTGGCACAGGCCTTTTGCACAGACCCAGTCTACAACACATGCCTGGGTTCAGGTCCCAGACTCACTCCCAATTCAAGCTTCCCTGGGAGACACCAGGTGATGGCCCAAGTGCTTGGGTCCCTGCCTCCCACGTGGGAGACCTGGATGGAGTCCTGGCTCCTGGCTTCAGCCTGGCCCAGCCCCAGATGCTGCAAGCATGTGGAGAGCCAGTAGATGCTATCTCTTGTGTTCTCACACCTGTTTGCTTGCCATCCCTGTCCTTGAAACAAATATATTAACAAACCAGTTCTCCCAGCCCCAGACCCTGGCATCCTCGTCCTCTATCTGCAAAGCCATCACTGATTACGATGCACATGGGGAAGCGAAGACTCCACAGCATGGCTCTCCCCGACCTAGGCACATAGGAACTGCTTCTCCCATTCACTTTCTCAGATGCACCCCAAGTCCCACAGCCAGTGGTCACCCCGTGGCCACCTGCAGTCCTGCACCCAGAGACACTCAACCGCTGTCTGCCACCCACAGTCACGCTCCTCACTTACAGCACCTGCACCCTCAGCTCTCGGTCCCTCTTTGGGCCTTCCCAGTGCCAAGAGGTCAGCTGTCACCACCTCCATCACACAGAGGGGAAGACAGAGGCCAGTGGCAGTCAGGGGCCTGCCCGAGCTCACACAGCTGGTGAGAGAAACTCAACCCAGGCCCCACAAACCCCCTGGCTCCCCACCAGCTCTCCCTGGAGCCCCCTGCAGCCCACCAGGCAGTGCACTTGGTGCATAGCACAGAAGACCCCACTGTTTATGCTTTACCCAGCTTCTTATTGCAAAAGTAGCCAGGAAATCACAGTGTGCAAAAACAAAGTGCAGGGTCTCCCACACGGCACACACGTCAGTCAACGCTAAATGTGAATTGTGTATCCTTCCACACTTTCTCTCAGCCCGTGAAAACATACAAAGGAGAATGATTCTATGTTATGTATTTTTAAGGAATTTTCTTTTTATTTGACAGACAGTGAGAGAGAGAGAGAGAGACAGAGAGAAAGGTTTTCCTTTTCCGTTGGTTCACCCCCCAAATGGCCGCTACAGCCGGAGCTATGCTGATCCGAAGCCAAGAACCAGGTGCTTCTCCTGGTCTCCCATGCGGGTGCAGGGCCCAAGCACTTGGGCCATCCTCCACTGCACTCCCGGGCCACAGCAGAGAGCTGGACTGGAAGAGAAGCAACCGGGACTAGAACCTGGCACCCATATGGGATGCCAGTGCCACAGGCAGAGGATCAGCCAAGTGAGCCACGGCGCCGGCCCCAGCATTATGGGTTTGTTTTTTTTTTTTAAACATAAAGTTCAACTTAGCTCTAGGCCTGCATCTGCCACTGGCTCTCCCCACGAAGTATCAGAAACATCTTTCCCGATTAAGAGCAGCAGGACCGATCCTTGCACCTGAGTGGCTACGTTACACTGCACGGCACCCAGAGGCCACGGCTCACCCAGCTACGCCCCCACTGGGTGCTCGGTGGGCTCCAGGCGTTCGGCCAGCCTGGGTCACCGTGCTGCAGTCACCAATCTGGAAGTGCATTCTAGGGTTCTGGTACTTTCTTTCTGCCAGATTCCCCAAAACGCCACTTTCAGGTCAAAACGAACATTCATCTTCATTGTAAAATAGTCCATATTTTCTCTTTAAGTATTTGAGAGACAGACCCAAGTGCCTGTAACACCTTGGACTGGGTCAGGCCAGAGCTGGGAGCTTCCTTCCAGGGTGAGATCAAACAGTGGAGTTAGTTGTACGTTTTTACTTGAACAGATTTCAATTCCAGGCAAGCCCAGGGCCACTCCCACCACGAGAACCAGCTAGCTCCATTTCCCTGTGCCGTCCCCACAGGTGGAAAACTCAGCGACTGGAGCCGATCAAATCCATGGAAACGGGACGCTGCCGCCATTCCCACTTTCTCCCTCCTGGACGCAAAGGGAGACTGAACCATCCTCGTGGGTTTCTCGGGAACACAGGGAACCCACACACACCTTCGGCCACCTGCTCGAGAATCACCTTACCGATCTTTGGTGTTCGAACATCAGTTTTTTATAGAAGAGATGGAACTGCTCGAAGCTGAGCTCATCCTTCTGTGTGCCTATTTCCTGTGAACAGAAGACAAGCGTGACCACGTGACGTCTGATGTCCGCCCTAAGACAGCCTCCGGCCGCTTATGCCAACAGAACAGCCGTTCGACAACGCTGCCTACAACCACACCGAACCAAAAGTGTGCACGAGTTTCTAATCCACCTGCCTGGCGCTTACAGAGCACACACACCAAGGACATCCAGCCCCGAGTCCCAGCAGGAAGGTCTCAGCCAGCTCCCCGTGAAACCTAACAGCTAACTCCCTCTTTTGGGGGGTGGGGATAGAAAGCACTTTCAATGGCTTCCAAACCCAGGCATGTTGATTGGGTATGCACATACAGCTCGCTTTTTCAAAACTGAAAAAGGAGGAAGGAAAAACAAAAACTGAAACAAAAATTGTGGCCAAAACTGTCGTCTGACAGCTCAGCTCCAATCAAGCACTTTATGGATTTGGCAGTCCACGTGACCCTTTAAGGTGCTTGATGTCTCCATCTGCAAAATGGGAGAGAGGCCAGAGAGGGCACCCCTGAGACCAGGCAGGATGTGACCCACAGGACGCCTGGCTGCAGGCACCCTTGACACAGGACAGAACTCCCGGTCACAGGGCAGTCAACAGGACATGCCTCTCCCATCCTTCAACCGCTCTCTGTGCCTCCATTCTTGGAAAAGTGTGGTAGGGCAGTAGCGGGGAAGGGTCCAAGGACTGCTTGCTAAGGACTGAAAGGGGCTGGCTCTCCTGGGAGCGCAGCACTCCAGACACAAACGAGCGTTTCCCACTGAGGACTCCTGTGAACGGGCTGGCGCTGGCTTGGCCAGGTGGGCCTCCAGCTGGGCTGCTGGACAGAGTGACGTCCACAGCATACGATGAGTCAGGACCGCCCCGGGGGCAAGCAAGGTGGCCACGCATAATGTCACCCATCCCCCATTTGGAAAAAGCCCCGCCTACTGCACCCCACCCTGCCACTCATAGAGCGGCTCTGCTGCTTTCTCTACCAACAGCCTGAGTACCCGAGAACATTCCCAAACCAGATGCAAGGTGGAAGGGTGGATGGTCAGAGAGGAGGAGAGAGGGGCAACCCTGACTGTTATGCCACCAGGACAGGCACACAAAATACCATGCCCCTGGCAACCCACAGAAGGACTCTGGTGACCGTCCAAAAGGCACACTTGTGCCCATGCCACCAGGAAGAAACCAGGCTGTGGGGTGGCCGGGGACACAGGGAACAGTGGACTGGTAGATGCGCGTCCGAGTTCAGACGTTCCAAGTCAGCAGCTCGGTGAACCTGGCCCGAGTTATCCACGGGACGCGCTGGCCGGCCAAGACAGATGCACTCGGGGGCCCGGCCCTCTCTCGGGCCTCCTTCCACGGCACGGGTATGTGGCAGGGGCCCTGAGCTCCTGTGGTTCCCAGGGTGAGCTCTGAAACTCACCACAAACTTATCCTTGAGGAACTTGGCGCTGCTGGCTTTGAAGTTGAGCAGCGGTAGGATGGTCTTCAGCTCGCGCAGGCTGATGCTGCCAAAGAGGAAACCAGACTCCGTCAGCCGCGGGGTTCCCGGGCAGGGGGTGCAGTGATGCCTGCTCCTGCCTCGGCTGCCCACCACCCCCCAACACACACACACACACACACACACACACACACACACCAGGAGAAAACCGCCAAGAGCCGTTCATGGAGCCCACCCAAAACAAGGCACTCGGGGCCCACAGGCACTGGGCACCATGGTAAGTGGGAAAGGCCATGCTGTGGGTCACACGGGAGACCCAGGGTGGGCAGGACACGGGGTCAGATGGCCAGGAGACCTTGGATTCAAGATGCTGCAGGGTTCAAAGCAAGGCAAGGTCACTGAAGGCCAGACGGCGGCAGAGGAACAGAGGCCACCAGACGTGAGCACCTACTATGTGCCAGGCTGCCCTGGGTACTCCCAGGCAGCCTATGCTCCCCACCCCCGAGCCTGCTCGCTACCCAGGAGATGGGAGCGACCCCAGGTCCACAAGGGCAAGGGCAGAGGCTGCAGGGAGTGCTGCTCAAGGTCACAGCCAGGCAGCCGCGGAGCCTCATCCGAACCAGATTCCAAAGAGCACAACCACAGGACTGGGACGAGGGGTCACATGACCAGGATGACAGGCGTGCATTCCCGGAGCCAGGCTCAGGAAGGATTCAGTCTACAAGGAAGGGAAGGAAAGCGGGTTCTAGCCGAGGGGATAGCGTCCTAACATCAGCAGTGACGGTGACCGTGACCGCAGCTGGGACTCAGACCACACTGGGCATCCCTCTAGGCACGGGTGAGCTCGTTTAGTACCACTGCTGCCTTCATCTTCCAGGTAGGTAGACGGAGACTCAGGTGTCCAGTCTGTGCTGGACTCAACCCCAGGCTGCCCCAGAGGCCGCCGGCCTATTGCCCAGGGAGCCACACACACAAGAGGGAGGGGTGACCCTGGTGGGAGTGGAGCCTGGACAGGAGACCCAGGCCCCAGTGTGGTCCAGAAATGAACTGGCCTCAGGCCGCAGGCAGTAAATGACCCAGCTCTGCCACCACTGTCCACTCAGCCTCAGGAAGAGGCAGAGGTGACTGTCCAGTACCTGCCCCTGGATTCCCAGCGCCCTCACATCCAGCCTTCCATCAGTCACCCTCACCCGCAGCTGCTCCCCGGCCTCAACACCACGATGGGGCCAGAACCAGCGGCTTTCACAGGGACGCACTGAGAGCCACAGGAGGCCCTGGCAAGGCTGGCTGGGGGCGGGGGGTTGGGGGGGAAGCTGGGGCAGAGCAGGATGAAGGCAAGGGGTGGCAGGGGCCACACTGCAAGAGGCAGCAGGAAGAGGGTCCTGACCCAGCCAGGGGCCCAGGGCAGCACATCCCAGGCCATCCCGGGTACCCTCGGGAGCCCAGGTTGCAACAGAGCAAAGGAACCAATCCACTCCAGCAAGAGGCACAGGGAGACGGCTGGAGAGGCCCAGATGCTCAGGACCAGGGGAGCAGTCCCAGGACCAGGGCGTGAGAACCCGAGCACCTGGGCCAGCGGCCCTAAGGTCTCTTTTTCAAAAGTAAAAGCAGGGCTGAAGAGCTCCTCTGGGCTCCTAGTATGGAGGCCTCCCTGCCCCATGTCCCTAGGTGAGCCCGTCCCTCACTCCGGGGCCAATGGTGCTGCCCCTGGCCTGAGCACACACAGCACACCACTGCCAGCAGCTCACACGCTCAGCCCTTTCTGGAACTGGACATCAGATGGACACAGTACCCCGCACCCCACTCCCTCACCAAGGGCCCATCTCTTGCCAGGAGCAGCCCACAGCCAACAAGCAGTCCGAGTGGACTCAGCTCAGCTCGGCTCTCTGGGGCTGCTGGGGAGCTGTGACACCCCCAGGAAGCCTCCTGCATTCAATCCCACATCTCAGATCATGTTGCCTGGGGAGCAACCTGGGCAGTGGGTTAGCAACCAGGATTAGGAAGTCCACTACCCATCACGGGCCACCCACAGCGCCTCCCTTTTCTTCAGCAGACAGCAGTAAACAATCACAGAGCTCTTCCCCGTTCAGCCCAGCCCAGCCCCAGGACCCCTCAAGCCTGCATCCCAAGAGCCACCCGGAACTCACCTGCCACCCTGCCGCTGCACAAGCACTAACCCCAGCCTACGCAACACACACCGGCAACAACAGACATTAATACCGAGTGTCTGAGTCAGGCACCCGGGGAGGCGGGGCTAGCCTTTCCTCTCCCTTGTCAAGAGGAAACTGAGGCACGGAGACGGCGTTTGCCCTAACTACACAACCGGACTTGTCAGAGCTTAGAGCCAAACCCAGGGCTGTGCCCCGGACCTTCCCACGATGGCAGAAGGAATGCTTCACCTCTGCTGCCCGGCACGCCAGCCGTGAGCCCTCGAACACGGCTTCTCCAGCTCAAGAGCCGCACTGTCTATCTAATTTCCATTAACACAGTTTAAACAGCCACGCGTGATTAGAAGGTCCCACAGCAGACAGGGCTGGCTTCTCCACACACACAGCACCCAGATCACCTGGGACTGCATTAAAATGCAAATTCCTGAGCCCTGCCCAAGACCCACCGAATCAGAGACAGCAGCAGTCTGTGCCCACAGCAAAGCACAGGACGAACCAGTGAGATTAGCCACAGCAGCCTCTGCACGGGTGTGGCCAACACTGCCCAGGCAATTCTAGTGGGCAAGATCCCTGACCGGTGGCCAGGAAACCTGTGTGCACTGGGCCCACACCTGCTCCCGGAAGGCCCCGCTCAGTCCCCCAGAGTCCCTGGCAGGGCTGAAGGAGACAGGGAAGTGCACAGGGTGGGGTTGTGGCACGGTGCACTAAGACACCACTTGGGAAGCCTGCATCCCAGACCATAGTGCCTGGTTTGAGTCCGGCTCCTCTCTGCTTCCAATTCAGCTCCCTGCAATGCATCCTGGGAAGGAGCAGATGGCAGCCCAAATATTTTGCCCAGCCACCCATGAGGAAGACCCAGATGGAGTTCCTAGTTCCTGCCTTCAGCCTGGCCGAGACCCAGCTGTTGTAGCCATTAGCCATTTGGGGAGTGAACCAGCAGGTAGATCTCTCTGGCCCTCTGTCTCTCAACGTGTGTGTGTGTGTGTGTGTGTGTGTGTTGCTGCCTTTCAAATTAATACATTTTTTAAACAGTGGCATGCCCACTCCAGGCATGCAAACTCACGGGAATATGCTCAGACGTCAGGGCAGAGGAGGGAAAGAAACACGTGCAGCAAAGCCATGACGAATGCAGAATCCTGTGCACTGTGGTGGGGGTGCACAGTGGAGTGCCGCAGCGGCAAACACAGTCACCATGTGATCCAGGGATTCCATCGCCTGGGCACACACAGCAAAGAAGTGAAAGCAGAGACCTCAACAGGTATCTGCACACTCATGTCCACAGCAGCACTGTGCTCAGTGGCCAAAAGGTAGAAACAACCCAACTCCACGGAAGCTAAGTGAACAGACACAATCAGTACGTGCACCTGCTACAGCGTGGTGGGACCCTGAGGACGTCTCACTAGGCAAGCCGGACTCAGAAGGACAAAGGACGCAGCACTGCACTCGCAGGAGCTGCCCAAGTCACTAAACCCATCGAGATGCAGAGCGCAGTGGCCAGGCGGAGGGCAATGAGGCAGGTACTGCTCAGTGGGAATGGAGCCCCCTTCCTGGAGGGAAAGTTCTAGAAGTGGATGGGGCAATGGCCGCACACTAGCTGAGTGTCCTTTACCCTCAGAACCATGTACTGGCAAATAGGAAATGCAGAGTTACAGCTGTCTTAGGGCATAAAGACAAATTAGGCCGGCGCCATGGCTCACTAGGCTAATCCTCTGTCTGTGGTGCCGGCACACAGGGTTCTAGTCCCGGTTGGGGTGCCGGATTCTGTCCCGGTTGCTCCTCTTCCAGGCCAGCTCTCTGCTGTGGCCCGGGAGTGCAGTGTAGGATGGCCCAAGTGCTTGGGCCCTGCACCCGCATGGGAGACCAGGAGAAGCACTTGGCTCCTGGCTTCAGATCAGTGCGGTGCGCCAGCCGCAGCATGCCAGCCGCAGCGGCCATTGGAGGGTGAACCAACGGCAAAGGAAGACCTTTCTCTCTGTCTCTCTCTCTCTCACTGGCCACTCTGCCTCTCAAAAAAAAAAAAAAGACAAATTTTTCAATCTGCTTTTACTTGTCTATTTTCCTTTCATTTAAAAGGCAAGGAGACAGTTCTGTATTCATGAGTTCACTCCCCACATGTCCAGGCCTGGGCCAGGCCAAAGCCAGGAGCTCCATCGGAGTCACCCCCACGTGGAGGGCAGGGATCCAACTACCTGAGCTATCACTACATGCCTCCCAGGGCGTGCAGTGCAGGAAGCTGGAATCAGGTGCAGAGCTGGGACTTGAACCCGGGCATTGGCAGACAGCACTGGGGCATCCCAAGCGGCTACTTCACAGCTGCTCCAAATCCCTACACCACCTTCGACGTCTTCAAATGGGGAAGAGAAGATTCTACACGGCCGCAGCTGTCACCAGCACGAGTGTCCTTAGCGAGAATCGACATCAAAGCCCAGACCGGGAGCCACAAAGCCACGCACCTCCCCTGGGGAGGACACGGGCGCAGGAGCAGCTGGCAGCTGGCCAGCGGTGAGCTGAGCACCCACAGCGGGGGACCCCACAGATGCCGTTCTGCAACTGGAGGAGTCGAAGGGCGGAGGGGGCACCTGGGCCAAACTAAACGCCTGTTTTGCTGGCCCTGCCCAGCCAGACCGCCCCGAGCCTGCCTCCGTCGCCTCCAGGCGGCCCCTGCTTCTGTGGCGCCTCTGTTTCCCATCAGGAAACGCGATTAGTCGTGGGTGGCAGGAAAGGGAGGCACCTTGGCCGTGCAGAAGCTGCTGGCTGGGTTGTGGGCACCTCAGTGAAAGTCTCCTTTGTGAGCCGGCTCCCAGCCTCAGCGAGGGTTTTCCGCTCTTCCCAGGCAGGGTGGGCTCTGGGGAGGGAGGCAGAGAGCGAGGCAGCGGGTACACAAGCAGGGGCCCAGCACAAAGTGGCCTGCCACCTGATACAGGCCCCAGACCAGCAAGGCACAGACAGAGCTCCATACGGGCCCGGAGCAAGAAAGACGTGAGAATTCCGTGTTGTGCCGACGTGCGGAGATGCCTGCCTCACAGCCAAGGCCTCAAACCGTGGGGGAGGGGACCCAGGGCAGCTCCTCTGCCATCCCTGCGCCAGTCTCAACCCCAAACACCATGGTCGGCGGAGGAAGACAGCACCGGGGGACACACCATGCCAAAGGCTGGGAAAGACCAACACATGCCCACTCCTCCAACCCTGGGTCTCACTCGCCCCACCTCGGGGACCCCAGCAGAGGCCAGTGGGGGAACAGGCAGGGGACGCTGCTGACAGGAGGGGGAAGAAGGCAGAGGAAGAGGCAGTATGGGGGGAGCTGCTGGCTGGCCTTTAACCACCTCCTGGCGAGCGGTTCCAGGGTCTGCCGTGGGGCCGACGTATCAGAGACCACGGAGGACGCCCTCTGACATGGGCCAAGCACGGTCACCTCGAGACGCAAAGGCTCTCGGGAAATGCAGCGGGGGCTGGGGGGAGCACAACGGCAGGGGGCAGGGTTTAGTTAGCACCTCCCACATGACAGGGCTGGATTTGTTAGCACCTCCCACGTGACAGCCCCACGGCTAACCCTGGCTGGATAAAGGGGAAAGCAACTGCTCCACAGGCAGCTCAGGTGGGAGGCTACAGAGCGCCAGGGACCGGGACGCTGAGCGCACAGCGATGGCAGCACCGGGGCTCCGTGTCGTCCATCAACACTGCATCATCGCCTCGGAAAAAGCAAAGCCTAGAGGACCGCTTGCTCAGCGGCACCCACAGAACAAGCAACGCAAATGTCACAAAACATACACTGTCACCCCCGCCACCAGCTCAGCCAAGGCCGAAGTGTGGAGACGCCATGCGAAGGGAGGTGCAGGCACACAGGCGATGCCACCTCTCCAGCCACCACGCTGGACCGGCGATGGCTCTGCTGCTACCACTGCCATCCCACTCAGGCCCACCTCCCACCGCGGCCCGGCCGCATTGTTCACGGTCATGAAAGACCAGGACTCCTCTGTGTCCATCAGCCAGGAGCTGGTTTCAGGACTTAGTCTAAGGAAAACGCAAAACCGCGTGGTGAAGGAGAAAGCTCCGTGTGCTGGCGGGGAGTGTCTCTGAGAGGCACTGTGGTGTAGACGGCTGAGCAAGCTGAACCACGTGTGCTCACACACCCCTCGCACCTCTGCCCGGCCCTCACACCGTGGCTTTTAGCTCGATCCACTTCATGGCTAGTCCCTCTCCCACTACAAAGCAAGGGCAGGCGGCTCACTGACGGCGTTTACTGCTGCATCCCCGGGACGTAGGAGATGCTCAAATATTTGCAATGAGGTCCAGATGCCCATGGCAGAGTCAGTCCATCTAGCCTGGAATTTTCCACCAGAACGGAGACTCCCCCAGGAAGAAGCTGCTGTGGCCACTGGCCCCAGCACGTCACAGGGCACCGGCCACTTTGCAGGTCCAAGCTGACCTCCTGAGGATCTTGCCCACCGCAAAGCGTGCCCCAACCCTCCTCGGAACGGAGTAAGGAGAGTCCAAGAAGAAGAAAACGCAACGTACGTGAGCGACTCTTACCTGTTCCTTCTGGTTTGATCCACGGAGTATATCTGCTTCCTGAGCCAGCTGGGGAGAGATTAGAGACACGAGAGAGAGACAAAGAGAGGGAGTGAGACAGCTGTCTGCAAGTCTAGGTGAGCTCTGGGCGTGAGGACGAGGGCAACTAGAACAGAAAGGATGGGCCTCCAACTCTGCAAGGCTGAGTCCGGGCGGCAGAAGTGCCCCATCTGAGCCAAGAGGGCTTTCTTTAAACTGACAAATCACTCTGGTGATAGTGGCCGATTGCAAAATGCTGGTATGAAAAGACAGTGCACAGTGGGGCCTTTGGGCTACTGGGGGAAGAATCCCTGGTAGCTCAATTCCACCCAGAGGCCTGTGATCCTGAAGGGACAGTCCCCAGAGCACTGTCCTCACCCACGAGGGTGCGACAGCTGGGGACCCTCCTGGCACCAAGGAAATCCTTTAGGAGAACGGCTTCTCCCGCACCCCCGACACACACCCCAGTGGACAGCTCCAGTTCTAATGCAGGGCCCCAACACACCAACGTGAAAACCAGCACAGAGGGCCACCTACTGGGAAACCCCACTGGGCACCCAACTGCATCCAGGACACTCAGTGAGCCTCCAAGAGGCAACGTCCCATTTCTCTGCCCTTCAGCCCGTGCTGGCCATGGAGAGAAGAAATGAGTAGGTGAGCGGAGACAGAGAGAAACGGGCCAGCACCACGTACCTCTCAATGATGGTGGGCGTGGACGCACTCATCACTTCCTGGTGTAAGATTTTCAAGCCCGAGAGCCACTTGATGGCATCCTCTTTGGAGTCAGCTGCAGCAAGGCATGGGGACAGAAGTGCTGTGTTAATTCCCGTCAAAACCTCAGCTTAGAGACCCAAGGCCCAGGCAGGCTAGGACATGGCAGAAGCCAGGGCCCATCTCTAGTTTTGCAGGAGGGCACCCAAGAAAGCAGCTCCCTCACTCTTACCTGGTTCACATCTGAGACAAGGCCACACACCCGTGACGCGCTTGCTCCTGCAGTGGTCACGAGCAGGCTAGTTCCCATGCCCAAGCAAACTTGACACATGGGGAAACCAAGTCTGAACCGGGTTCAGTGATACGTCCAAGGCCACCAGCCTCCAAGGGGCCAACACGAACTGGATGTTTGTGACCCCTCAGAATTCAAATGGTGTTACCCTCATCCCCAACATGATGGCGTTCATGTGGGGGGCCTGTGGAGGGTGACTGGGTTCAGACAAGACCATGAGAGAGAGAAGAACAGAAAGCAAGACCACGGCCCACGGCCCCCTCGCTATCCAGGCACACACGGAGGAAGGGCCTGCGAGCCCACAGCACGGGGGCAGCTGCCTGCAAGCCACAGGAGAGAGCCTCCCCTGACCCAGCTAGGGGGAGTGCCTTAACCCCACCCTGGGCTTCCAGAACTATCAGAAAACACCCGCCTGTGTTTCAGCCACCCAGTCTGACAGCCAAAGCAGACTCAGACCAGGGCAGACCCAGGATTTCACCCCAGCCTCCACGGCCCTCGCCTGAGCGCACCCTGCATCTGTGGACCAAAAAGCTGAGGAATTCAAGCCCAGGCACTGGGCCAGGCCCGGGCAGGGGATCTCAGCCAGGCTCCTGTGGCAGAAGGGTCTTTGCAGACCCCAATGCCTGCCTGGGTCTCATCCCAAAGGAGTGAAATCAGAAGACAGAGGTGGGGAGCCGGGCACAGGGGGAAGTTCCACATCCCCGGGTGTCTGCCGGCATCCTGTGCTGCTGTCGAGCCAGGACCACACACCTGGGGGCTCCAAGTAACACAGGTTTCGCCCTTCAGTGCTGGAGGACGGACAGCTCCAAGGGGTTCCTCCTGGGATCCCTGGGCGAGGGTCCGGCCCCTCGCTTTTCCCAGCTTTGAGAGGCCACCCACGCTCCGTGGCTCCTGTCCCCATGTCACCCTGACCGCTGTTTCTGTCATGACAGCTCCATGTCTGAGGCCGACTCAGTCGTGAGCCCCTTACAGGGCCCCTTGTGATGACACTGCGGCCACCCCATCTCGAGATCCTTAACATAACCACACCTGCCAAGCCTTGTCGTCCGTGTCAGATGACAGTGGCCAAGTTCAAGGCTGCAAGGATCAGGACATGAACATCTCAGAAGGATGCGACTCAGCCTCCCACAGGCTCAGAGCTTCAGCTTTTGGTTTTGTTTTAGCAAAGAGTTGTAGCTCTTGGTCCTAGGCCTGAGGGCATCTGAGCCCTGAGCAGCGTCAGCATCTCTCCTGTTTCCAATGAGGCTGGGGTGAGCGCTGGGAAGCAGACGGCTCTAGTGGCCATGGGGAAAGCAGGGACAAGCGGTGGTTAAGAGCCAGGCATCTGGGGACAGATCACAGCCAGGGCTGATCACAGCTCACAGCTCATGCACCACCGCACACCCCGGGCCTCACGTCCTCACAGTACAACAGAGGCAGCTGTGCACAGGCGTGGTCGAGCTGTGACCCTCTCCTCGGCACCAGGGACCTTGCCAATCTGAGCCAAGGAGGTTCCCAAAGCTCGCAGGAAAGAGCAGTTGGAAGACGCTGTGACTTCTCAGGCATAGTCACGGCATGCCCGGTGCATTGCTTTTACTCGTCCCACGCGGAGGGGGAGAAAACCCAGGCTCAGAGGGGCTCAGGGCCGGTGCCAGAGCTGGGGTCAGGGCAGATCCTGGTCTGGACCCTCTCCGCCACCTGAGGGAGCCCAGAATGGGCCAGACACCAAAGCTGGCATCCTGGGCTCCCAGGTTCTCCCTTCCAGGAGCAGGCGCCCCGGCTCAGCCTTCAGTGAGGCCGAGGGCACGGGGTCCTGAATGCTAACGTGGTATGATGCCCCGGTCTCCTGCTCCACCTCTCCTGCCCTCCACATACCACAAACAGGACATCGCTCGGCACTTCCCACACCCAGCTCCCTACGTCCCCCTCTAGGGCCCGCACTGCCCTCTCTCTCCCCCTCCCAACTCCTACTGAAGCCTCAACACCCAGTTCAAAGGTCACCTCTGCACCAAGAACGAACGAGGCACCCCGAACTCACAGAGCGCACGCTGCACCCACTACACAGGAACGGCAGCTCTCACCGCAGGGCACTGTGGCTGCCCGTCCACACGTGGACAGTGAGCCTCCTCAGAGTAGCAATGGGGTCTCACCCATCGCCCCCTTTTTTTTTTTTAAAGATCTATGTGTTTATTTGAAAGACAGAGTTAGAGAGAGAAGGAGAGGCAGAGACAGAAAGAGATCTTCCATGTGCTGGTTCATGCCCCGCATGACCACAGCAGCTGGGGCTGGGTCGCCCACATGGGTGGCAGCGGCCCAGTTACGGGGACCACATTCTGCTGCTTCCCCAGGTGCATCAGCAGGGAGCTGGATCAGAAGTGGAGCAGCTGGGACGTGAACCTGGCACTCATCTGGGATGCTGGCATCGCAGGCTGCAGCTTACCCTGCTGCACCCAGTGCTGGCCCTTAGCCATCCTTCTAAGCCTGCTGAGGTCCAGCGCAACCCAGCTAGGGACCCACGCTCCCAAGACGCTTGTGAAGAGTAAATTCAGATGAGGAAGTCCTATGTGACTCCATTAAATGTCTATCTCACAACTCTTAGTGCCCTCACTTCCCTGGTTCGCTTCCAACAGTACTTATTCTCTCTCATCAGTCGTGATTATCGGTTCGATTCCAAGTCTACAAATTCTAGGACTGGACCTGAAAGGAAGCACAGCTTCTGCCTCTGGGCAAAGCACCTGAACTTCCTCACAGCGCCATTCCCACCTCCTGCCTCCCGCTCAGTGATACATTCACAGGGATGGCCAGAAACTTCACCCACAGACACGCAGGTCTGTGTTTGTGCCCACACGCACACATATGCAGGTGCACGCACACAAACGCAGGTGCATGCAAGTGTGCGTGCAATGCCAGATCTCGGGACAGGTCCTGCAGATCAGTGTCAGGTTTGCACTGCGGCCTGTGCTGATAGAAGGCAGCTCTCATTTTTCACCTGACAGAGCCTGGCCCCCACTGGTTAAAACTTTAACCTTTAACGCAGCGCTCAGCCTGAGCCAGGGAGATGCTGAACACACTCCTCGTTTCCCAGTGAGAAAGGCAGCATCCTTCTCTGTGTGCCATAGCTGAGCAGCCTGCAGCTCAGAGAGGTTAAGCATCCTGCCCAAAAACGCACAGCCAAAGGGGCAAAGCTGGGATTCACATTCTTGGTGCCCCAAACCCACACGAGCAGGCAGGCAGCTGTGAGCATCTGAGGACTGGAGAGCACCCTAGCAGGGAACCGAGGTGTGGCGTGGGAGACAAGCCCAGGAGCAGGCACCCACCTGCCAAGCTGAGTGTGCTGAGAACGAACTGGGTGCCGTACAGGAGGGTGAAGCAGCAGTCTTCTTTCTGGCGCACTGCTTTCGCACGCTCGAAATCCTTGGAGTTCTTTCCCGGACGGATTTCCTTTATGTCCATGATATCCACTGAAAGGCAACCACAGGAGCCGATGAGAAGCTGGATCTCCCCCGGGCATACGGCCACACACCCGCTGCCCACACGCATCCCCCAAAGACACCAGACGCCATCTCTGCACCTGAGTCTCCACTCAAGCTCAGGACCAACTCCTAGAGGCCGACAGAAGGCCAAGGGCCTGCCCGGATGTTCCCCACTGGCCCCAAGCCCTGCAGGATGACGGGTGTGGGACTGATCCAGGGACCAGCACGTGGCCCGGGCTGCACCACCAGCATCCTCTTGGGACCAATGTGGCCAGGGCACCTGGTGACATCTCCCCCACTGCTGCTGCCCAGCTGGGACTAACAGACACCATCCTGCTGCCCCACTGAAGTCCCTGGGTCCAGTGGGGCTCGAAGACCGTTCCACCTCTGGACGGCGCTGCTCACACTAAACCACTAACTTCTCTTTTCCACTTAGGTGAGTGTGAGATCGAGTTCTGGTCCCTTGTCCTCCAAGCGCTGGCTCAACCATTTCAGTACACTGGCCAGAGAAGCGAGGCCCAGAGGCCCTAAGAGTGGGGCAGAAAGTCCCAGCTGCAACCTGGAACTGCAGCAGTGGACAGCCGAGTCCAGACAGGTGAGGGAGCGTTTGATCAGAATCGTCCACATTCATCATGTGCAACGTGTTCTAAAATCTGTGTACGCCATGAGAAGGCTCAGCTGAGCCGCTGAGCACACCCATGGTCTCAAATTCTCATTTTTTATTTTATTTCCAGCAGACACTGAGAATCTACTCCAGGTGATTTCAAAAACACAATGCGCTGCTCTCGGCCAGTCAGCAAACACGCTGGTGCTCTGCAATCCAATGGAAACAGCCGGAAGGGCTCGCCACCATTCCCACACCGGGAGCCGGCGGGAGGGGCAGAGAACTAGAACTAAGGAAAGGCAGATGGAAGGAACTGGAAGCTCTCAGCGTCTCAACCACAGCCCCAGCTCCGCAGACCACAGTTCTGGGGACAGCTCAGGGAGCGATGGGAGAAGCCGTGAGTAAGCAGAGTACGGGCTACGTCCCACCTGCGCGTGGTCACAGGTGCCGAGCTCTCTATGGCTGATACCATTAGAAAGCAGAACCCACACCCAAATAAAGACAAAATTTGTTTACAAGATTTTAGTTATTTATTTGAGAGGCAGAGTTACAGACAGATAGAGGGAGAGACAGACACAATGTTTTCCATCTGCTGTTTCACTCCCCAAATGGCTACAACAGTTGGAACTGGGCCAATCCGAAGCCAGGAGCCAGGAGCTTCTTCTGGGTCTCCCACATGGGTCCAGGGCCCCAATCACTCAGGCTGTCTGCTGCTGCTTTCCCAGGCCACAGTAGAGAGCTGGATCTGACGAGGAGCAGCCGGGACTAGAACTGGTGCCTGTATAGGATACCGGTTCCACAGGCTGAGTCTTAGCTCACTATACCACAGCACCGGCCCAAGACAAATATTTTTTAAAAGATTTATTTATTTATTTATTTATTTAAAAGGCAGAATTGCAGATAGAGAGAAATGGAGTGACAGAGGCAGAGACAGAAATCTTTCATCTGCTGGTTCAATCCCCAAATGGCCACAATGGCCAGAGCTGGGCCAGTCTGAAGCCAGGAGCCAGGAGCTTCTTCCAGGTCTCCCATGTGGGTGCAGGGGCCCAAGCACTTCGGCCATCTTCTACTGCTTTCTCAGGCCCATTAGCAGGGAGATGAATAGGAAGTGGAGCAGCCAGGACTCGAACCAGCACCCACATGGGATGCCGGCATCATAGATGGCAGCTTTATCCGCTACACCACAACGCTGGCCCCAAGCAACACCAATGAACACACACAGAAGTGAGTGTGTGTGCAAAGTGGTGAAGTCTATCATTTATCTCACAGCATCCCTGCAGCACCTGTGTCCTGGCTGTGCAAACCACAGCTCTAAACGGCATCACCCAGGGAAGCCAGAGAAATGGCCCAAGGAGCTCTGCTCTCTCTGTAGCATCGGCTTGCGCCAAAACTATTTCCAGACAAGAGGTTTTCAGAATCACTCAGCAACTGCGGTGGCCCCGTCCCGGGGTACAAGGTATCTCTAAACTTTGGTGGGGTGAGAGGTGGGGCTGGGAGGATGCCCCCAATCTCCACCCAACCCACAAACCAGAGGACTTCTTTCTCCTCTCTCATCCTTGTTCCTTAAACACAAACAAAATCCAGATCCATCTGGCACGCTGAACTTCCTAACTTTCCAGAAGGAAATTGACACTGTTGATTTACCTCTGTTAGCAATTCCCTGGGACCATCAAGGCACTCGGGTGCCTGGGCACCATCAACCATACCCAGCCGACTGCCAGCCACGAGGCTAGAGACTTTAAAGCAACATTCTTGTTCTTTCTTTAAACATTTATATATTGTTTTCATTTTCATCTACTTGAGAGACAAAGACAATCAAGTGTGATGATTCTTTCCCAGTGAAAAGTCTCCAGAAGGTAATCATCCTTGTAGCACAATTATAATAAATGATAAATCTTGCATAAATTACAATAAAAATGCAGCATGCATACACAACTAAAGAAATTTCCAGACAGTGCAACACTGTCTTCCAGCAAAGTCCCATCAGTTTTACTTCGCATCTGTCCGCGGCTACTGGATTCCGTGGTCCACCACGATCCAGCACACAGCGGGAAGCCAGCCCACGGTCATCCTTGTGAACACACACACTCACCGGCTCCACTGCTCGGCACCGAACATTCCCATGATGCCCCACTCCTGTCAGGACTCTGCTGACCTCTGCCAGCCCTACTGTGTGCCCTTGCCCCCATTACCCAGAGATGCCAGCCCCTCTCACGGGCTCCAGTGGGTCCCGCTCACTCCTACCAGCCACAGGACCACTCTCGTCCAGGTCAGCTGCAGACTCTCCCAGTATCAGCTCAGTCACCAGCACACTCAGAAAACCTCCCAGTTCCTACTTCTACAAGACCAAGCGCCTGTTCTCAACACACTTACCAGTGACAAGCAGTTATCCACAGACTCACCACTCTTTTCCCAGACCGTCAGCTCCAGGCAGGCAGGGACTACACACACTTCCCCTCCCTAAACAGAGTGGCTAAGGCACAACAGGGCCCAATCAACGGGTGCCGGGAGAGGAAGGAGACAGAGAGATAGGGGCACAGACGGGCTGACCTGGAGACGGGACAGAGAGGAAGCAGACGGGAGCCCAAGGCAGGTCGAGACACACAGATGGGACAGGAGACAGCCAAGATACAAACAGTGCCAGAGAGAGGCAGAGACAGAGACCCGGCGGAAAGAAAGCACGAGCCACGGCAGCAACGCTGGCAGCCTGGGCATCCACGCCCCTTCCGCTGCCCGGCAACAAGCGCCCTCTGGATCCGGTCCCGCCAGGAAAGGAGACCAGGCGTCAGCCACCGCGTCCAGGACCACCGCGTCCAGCACCGGCCGCCTTCCCGCGCCTCCCACCTCTCCCTCCCTCTTCTCCCTGGGGAAGAACTGGCGAGCCCCTCGTGTCTGTCGAGAGCCTCTTTCCCCACTGAGCTGTGGAGGATGAGCTGAAACTCGCGTGGGTCCCTTTCTAGGCTCTTTGTCCCATTCCACCGAGCAAATCGTCTGTTCTGCCGCCATCACCCTGCCTTGATCATCGCTGCCTTAGAGTAAGTTTAGAGCTCAGGCACTGTCCCTCCTCCAACGTGTTCTGCAGCACTGGCTTTGCTACTTGAACTCTTTCGCCTCTCCAGAAAGACGTGCGGGTAACTGCTGAGGGCTGGGATGCGGCGCAGAGGTCTCGCATGTCAGAGTTCCTGGGTTTCAATCCTGGTTCTTCTTGTGATTCTCGCTTCGCACTAAAGCCCACCCTGCGATGCAGCAGGTGCTAAGTTGGGTATCTGGGTCCCTGCCACCTTCCTGGGAGGCCCAGAGTGGGCGCCAAGCTCCTGACCCAGCCTCAGCTGTTGTACACATTTGGGGAGTGAACTAGCCAACAAAAGGTCAGTCTCTGTCTTTGTCTGTCTCTCAAAGAGTTGAAAATAAACTCTAAACACTTTTAAAGAATAAACTGGAGGGCGGGCATTATGGAATAGCAGGTAAAGCCACCACCTACAATGCCGGCATCCCGTATGGGCACCCAATCAAGTCTGGGCTGCTCCGCTTCCGATCCAGCTCTCTGCTAATGCACTTTGGAATGCAGTGGAGGATGACCCAGGTGCTTAGGCCCCTGCACCCACGTGGCAGACCCAGAAGACACTCCAGGCTCCTGGCCTCAGACTGGTGCAGCTCTGGCTATCGCAGCCATTTGGGGAGTGAACCAGTGGATGGAAGCTCATTATGTCTCTCCCCTTCTCTCTCTCTAACTCCGCCTTTCAAGTAATAATTTTTCTTTAAAGATTAAGGTAGGCCGGCGCCGCGGCTCACTAGGCTAATCCTCCGCCTTGCGGTGCCGGCACACCAGGTTCTAGTCCCGGTCGGGGCGCCGGATTCTGTCCCGGTTGCCCCTCTTCCAGGCCAGCTCTCTGCTGTGGCCCGGGAAGGCAGTGGAGGATGACCCAAGTGCTTGGGCCATGTACCCGCATGGGAGACCAGGAGAAGCACCTGGCTCCTGCCTTCGGATCAGTGTGGTGCGCCGGCCACAGCGCACCAGCCGTGGCGGCCATTGGAGGGTGAACCAATGGCAAAAGGAAGACCTTTTTCTCTGTCTCTCTCTCTCACTATCCACTCTGCCTGTCAAAATAAATAAATAAATAAATAAATAAATAAATAAATAAATAAATAATCAACAGAGGCTGGCACTGTAGAGCAGTGAGCTAAGTCACCATCCGTGATGCCAGCATTCCAAGTGTGTGCCGGTTCAAGTCCCAGCTGCTCCACTTCCAGGGCAGCTCCCTGCTAATGTGCCTGGGAAGAGGGCAGAAGATGGCCCAAGTCCTTGGGCCCCTGTCACCCACACAGAGACCTGAATGAGGTTCCAGACTCTCGGCTTCAGCCTGGCTCAGCCGCAACCATTGCA